GGGGGTGCGTGACAGAATGGTGTGGCCAATATCGACGATGCGTTCAATAGTTTCTTCACTGATTCCATGGTTGACGATTACGAAGAATCCATGGGAGGTCATGGCCTTGTGGACTTGTTTTGCAAGTTCCTTTTTGTCGGCGGGAGTGTCTTTGTAGAGTGAGAAATCTAAGATATCGAGGTCGGCATAGTCGAGCTTCTCTTTGGTTGGCTCAACAGGGACAAAGTGGTCCACTTCAGGTAATGTCTTTGAGATCATCTTGTTGAATAGGTTCGAGATGATACCGTGAATATTTGGAGTTTGGTATAGCTAGGTAGTCGAGTCCGATATTTGAGGCAAAGAGGTCAGGTAGGCATTGCTCCTTATAATCCCTAAAAGTCAGTGAATATGAGAAACGCGCAGGGTATAGTTCCTGTGTCAAACCTCACAGTATGGAATGTCATGGTATGTTTGACCGGCAGATCATCCCTGCGAGGCCGTGGCATCCTGCAAAGCCGACAACTCGCAGCACCGTTGCTCCGTGCGATGTAGCAAGTTCAGTACGATATGGTTCATCAATTCCATGTGGGCGTAGGACTCGCAATTTAGACTGTCCGAAAACTCGGCCAGTCCTTGGGACTGCGGAGACCATCTATCAATATCGCTTGTTCTCACTAATCACTACTCTCTGTGACGCGGACTGAGACCCTGAAGAAAGGCCGGTACCATTCCAGGCCAGGCTGAAATGGGGGGAGGGATTGTTCACAGCTCGTATCTCGCAATGCTACGTCAAATTCTGTAACATGGGCATCGTCCCTTGTATAGGTTCGTCATTACGCCATTGATGCACACAATCATATCTGCTCTTCCAGGCTTGTCACCTTCTAGCTTCCCGACACTCTTTACAATGTATCAGTCACTCAATCCTGGTATTTTCGTGACTTCCAGAAGCTCTCCTGTCGCTTCCACTTTGACCTTCTGAGATGGGATGACGACAGTCAGAAAACGGCAATAGTCATCGGAGTTATTCATCCAGGCATGGAATGTTCCTCTGTAATGGTTTGGTCAGCAACAGTGGCGCTCTTCAATACTGGGGGGGCTGATGGGCCATAAACACCATCAGTCACACTTACTTTTGAATATACACGTCTCCCTCTCTCAAAGTCTCGACAGCTCCGTCGTCCAAGAGTAACTGTAGTGACCCCTTCAGCACCACACCGTAGTCGAGACTCTCGTTGCGGTGCAAGTATGGTTTTGCGCCATCTGGAGTGGGAGGAACATCCACAATCTGGCAGACTATTCCCTTCTCGCCCTGGCCTCGACGTATATTGTCCACGGTGAGCTCTTCTCTTCCACCTTGGATTTTGACCGGATATTCTCGAGTACGATGAATCAGTGTGGCGCCAACTGGTTGAGGTGTGGAGGGATCGGACCTCGCGCCTTTTGGAGTTGGATTGACGGGCGTGAGTAGATCATCGAACTCGAAAATAGCCTTTCCATCTCGATCGTGACCTGTGACGAGTCTTCTTGTAGGAGGGAGATGATTCAATTGTTCCATCTTTCTTCTGTAGTGAAACAATTCTGGAGGTGTTGTGGGAAGAGTGGGTGGATTTTCCTGTTCGCCCAAGGTGTCTTTTCTATGTCAAGCCGCGACTGCAGTACTATTTTCTGTTCGTCGAGCTAGAATCCATGCCATGAGTTGCTTTTCACATCCATGACATTCACCTTCTCCAATGTACTAACCACACGTCTCACAGACTAATTTCACCGACTTCTCGGCCTGTTAACGTGTCGGTCACCAACCTCATTTCCCCTGCCTTTTTTAGTCCCACCTTCTGTTGGAACGAAGTAAAAGTCGGAACCTAGGCGAAATCTGTAGGTGCTTTATAGTTGAAACATATTGCAGTGTCTCAGACAAGGGTTCAAGTATACAGTCTCCTCTATCCGTGCTGTCCATTGCAGCTGCTCTTGCAACAACGACAATGGGGTCTATTTCTGAGTCTCAGGGTATGCCAGCTGCCCATAAACTACGAAAGCTCCTACAAGAAGACAAGACCATATTTTGTCCTGGGGTATACGACGGCATCACTGCCCGACTGGCATTGAAAGAAGACTTCGATGCGCTCTATATGACCGGAGCCGGAACCGCAGCATCCAGGCTGGGTGAGCCAGACCTCGGCCTTGCGACAATGAACGATATGGTGGAAAATGCTGGAATGATTGCCTCACTGGACCGTTCAGTCCCCGTTATTGCAGACGCCGACACGGGTTATGGCGGACCTCTGATGGTGGCCAGAACGGTCCGCGCCTATATCTCTGCTGGCGTGGCGGCAATGCATCTTGAAGACCAAGTCCAGAACAAGCGCTGTGGGCATCTGGCAAACAAAGAGCTGGTGGATGAAGAAACATACTTGACTCGGATCCGGGCAGCTGTATTGGCCCGTGATGAGATGCGCAAGGTGTCTGGAGGCTCAGCAGACATTGTTCTCATCGCACGTACCGACTCGATCCAATCACTAGGCTATGAGGCTGCAGTTTCACGTCTCCGAAATGCTGTTTTGGCGGGCGCCGATGTTGCTTTCCCGGAGGGCATGACTACTATGGAACAATGCAGTCGTGTCTGCAAAGACCTAGCTCCCACGCCTGTCCTTCTGAACATGGTGGCTGGAAGTATCACTCCCCACCTCAGTGTTCAGGAAGCCAACAAGCTGGGCTTCAAGATTGTGATCTTCCCTTCCGTGGCTTTAGACGCAGTCACGGAAATGGTGGGAGAGGCGATGAGGGAACTGAAGAAGAATCAAAGACCAGTTGCCAGCGACACTCGAAAGAGGGCAGGTGTCAAGTACCTATTCAATATTCTGGGTCTTCAAGAGCGTATGGCTTTTGACAATGCAGCAGGAGGCAAATCTTTTGTTGAAGGGGCTTGAAGCGACAACCCATATGTTATTGCTGTGATAGATATAACAGAGAGTAAATACATGGCTCTTCCTGCCAACAAGTTCTTCTTACTCGCGTACCTCCTCTCCCTCCTTTCCAAGTCATGATTGAAATTATACTTCGAGTGGATAGTTCATTGAACCTGAATAACAATCTTGCCCCAGAAATGCTGCCTCTCCATTTCTTTGTAGGCTTCCGGCGCTTCTTCAAATTTGAATATTCGATCGGCGACGATGGGTTTGATGTTGTGTTCTTCGAGGAACGTGTTCATCTGATTAAACATACTCTTCGGACCAACATTCATCCCTCTGACAATACAGAGTTGCCGCTGTATCCAAGAGATGTTGGGTAGGCTTTCACTATTCCCTCTTCCACCGAGGAACCCCACCATAGACACGACGCCCTCGGGTCTAATGGCTTTCAAGCTCTGAGATACTGTATTTTCGCCGCCAACTTCAACGACATGATGCACGCCAAGCCCGTCTCGAGTCAGAGATCTTGCAATTTCTCCCCAGTCAGTGTTGGACCTGTAATTGATGACATGTTGGACGCCCAATGCTTTGAGCTTCTCTGCCTTGTCTGCGGTCGAAGTGGTGGCGATGACCTTCGCGCCAATGGCCAATGCGAGCTGGATCGCAAATAACGAGACACCGCCGGTTCCTTGCGTGAGTAGGAAATCCCCTGGTTGGAGAGCCCTTGATTCGAGGCCGAACAAACAATTCCAGGCAGTCAGGGCAGCGCAGGGTAAGGTGGACCCTTCAATATATGAGAAGTTTTTGGGCATCAACACAAGACCCGTCTCTTCAAATACTCCGTATTGTCGCAGAACACCGTCACGTTGACTCCCCAACGAGCTCTGCCGGATTTCAGGTGTCACGATGCCATCCTGAAGGTCTTGCATGAAGTTCATGCAGACCCTGTTCCCCAGCTTGAATTGCTTCACTCCAGAACCAATGGCAACGATCTCTCCTGCGCCATCAGAGCAGGCAACAAAGCTTTTTGCCAACGGCAATGTGTATCGGCCCAGGGCAATGGCAATGTCGCGGTAATTTAAGGAAACTGCTTCGATGCGAACCAGACACTGAGTCTCCCCCAAGTCAGGCAGCGGAACGTTCTCCTGAAGTTGAAGAGCTGCGATTCCCTTGTTTGGGTCAATCACCCACTGGGCAGTTTTGCGAACCGTCATTATGAGGATGAACTATCCAAACAAGCTATCAGTGTTACCTTGGTCCGTCACTCGTCTTATATCAAGCGAAATCGCGACAGTCCACGAAGGAACACTTGATGGGTATGCTGATGACTCCCGTACAGCTTACTTACGGTATCTAAATTCAAGCTATGAAACGCGAGAAAGAATGATCGATGGAAACTGTCCTCTTCATTTCAAAGTGACAACGGTGGTCCCCGCTCTGACCAGCATCACACCTTTGACAAGCAACCCGCGAGTGGTATTTGCCGCCACTATGGGGAGGTTGCCCGAATAGTCGGCAGAAACAGGGGCAACCCTAAGCTTCTGACCGGCAGCATATTTTCTAGCCAAACATGTCCTCCGAGAATAATCACAGCACGAGAAAGACAGCACTGAACGAGGTACTTAGACGTACACAGGGTTCGGCGCTCTCGGGAGGAGAATGAGCTGGACTCTGGAATACATGGTCGGCTTCTCGAGGGCAAAAAGCACCGACCCGAGGTCAGTTAAGTTCACCAGCAACTCCATGGCGGAGTTTCCATGTGGTCCCGTCGCATGCCAAAAGTACCGAAAGCGCGCCGTCTGGGCCAAACTTTGCTCAGCCAAGGCCGAGTTCTCGCTCCGGTGGATCTGGGGTCATGGTTCCCCAGCTTCCTGCTAATGCATTCGTCTTTATTGGATTCGACCCTGTCTTATACAGAAAAGTCCGTTTCCTGGGTAAGTAACTCACGAGATATCAATCACTACGACTCCTGGGAAAGTTATAAAACTTGCCCCAGAGTCTGCTGTGGTTTCCTTCTGCCTTCTCTTCTATCAGGACATTGCAATATCTGATACTTGCTCAGTCTCTTACCTTTCTGTCTCCTTTCCAACGATGTCGTCCGAAGCGAAAACAATGGCTGCAGTTCCCCTACACATTGAGGAGGGGGTGAAACTCGAATTCGACATTGCTGAAGTGAACGAGCAGGGAAAGCTTGCCACTGAAAAGGTCTTGAACCGAAAATTCGACTTCCGCATTCTCCCATGCTTGTTTCTTCTCTACTTCTTCTCCTTTATGGACAGGGCTAGTATTGGGAACGCCAGCATTGCTGGATTGAACGCCGACCTCAAGCTGCAAGGCCAAAGCTACAGTGTCGCGTTGGCTCTCTTTTTCATCTGTTACTTGATTGTCGACCTTCCGGCCGGCTTGGTGTTCAAGATCATCGGCCCTCGCCCCTTTCTCTGCATCAGCATCTTTTTGTTTGGCACTTGCACCATCTGCCTCGGATTCGTCAAGACTGCATCTCAACTATATGCAGTCCGGTGTCTTCTCGGGCTCTGTGAAGGGGGCTTGACCCCATGTATCGCCATCTACATGGGCATGTTCTATCCACCCGATCATTTACAGCGACGCCTGGCTGTCTACTACTGTGCTGCACCCCTGAGTGGTGCAGTCGGTGGCCTACTCGCGTCTGGTCTCGGAAAAATTCAAGTCGGATCTTACAGGCACTGGCCATGGATTTTCTTCATCGAAGGAGCCATCTCCATGATCGTCGGGGTTGTCTGCTTTTTCATCCTACCTAACATGCCAGGCCAATCCAGGTTTTTGACCGAAGAAGAGCGCGAGGTGGCCAGAATCAGGTCAGGAAAGATTAGCCGCACCATCGACGTCAATCATGAACAAGAGAAGTTCACCTGGGCAGCAGTGAAACTAGGGCTTCTGGACTGGAACACAATCCTTCTTTCCACTATTAGCATCGGAACGTATTGCAACATCTACGCCTACAGCCTTTTCTCCCCCGCCATCATCAAAAGCTTTGGGTACAGCACGATCCAGTCTCAGCTTCTCAGCGTGCCTCCGTACATATTCGGCACCATTTGTGTCTTCATGACCTCGATCGCGGCGGATCACGTTCACATCCGCGGGCCTTTTGTGCTTGGCCCGTGCTGTATTGAGATCATCGGCTGGATCATCCAGATGACATGCAAGGGTGTCGCAGTGAGATACTTCGGGCTCTTCTTGGTCGCGGGCTCGATCTACCCGATCATCAACTCGACCACATCCTGGCTGATCGGTAATCTGCAGCCTCACTATGTCCGTGCTACCGGGATGTCGTTTGCCGTGACGCTAGGGACGACTGGCGGAATCATTTCGACCTTCACCTACGCAAATGCAAAGACCAATGTTGCTAATGGCGTGGAACTGGCTATGACTGTCATGGTAGTTGCACTATCTGTACTGTTGATGTGGTTGAATCATGCAGAGAACAAGTTGAGAGCTCGCGGCGGTCGAGACTATCGGCTCAACGAAGGGGTTAGTGCGGCACAGCTAGGATCGCGCCACCCAGACTATGTTCTTTCTCTCTAATGGGCTTCACTGGATCAGGTCTCAAGGTCAATGTACATATGATGCCTCTTACTTCAAGGGTCTTAGTGATCTATACCTTTGAAGCAATCCAAATTAGAAGGACCAGCAGAACCGCAGAGTTCGTCTCCAAATGTGACAAGACATTCACACGATTAGAGACTTACTCTTTTCCGATTGCTAGATAGATAGAGGCAGCTAGAACAATTCCATCCATGACCAGTAGCTAATTACTAGCTTGCGTCTGAGAGATATGTGATTCTTGAGTGGACAATCTTAGGCAGATGATCCAAGTTCCATGTCCCGCGTCCCGTATCCCGTGGATGAGGGGATCAGACAAGGCTTTCGAAGATATGGATTCTCAGCATGAAATAAAATACTTCACTTGACATAATCTATCACTTCGTTACCTCTAGTCAGAGGACCATTTTCTGTATTTTACTCATGTAACATATCGACCGATTTACGTCTGCAGATACAGAAGCGACACGGAACTCAGGCATGTTTGCCTATCACGTACATCGAGAGCCTCTGTCACTCTTCAGTCCGGGTCAGGACTACAATCGGCTTCTCTGGAGACTTCTCTGCCTATCCTCCGAGCCATATATGTGTGACATGGTCTGGGTCAGCGACAACACTGACATTTTCCAATGGGTTGGACGTCAGCGCAATGAAATCGGTATCATAACCTGCCTTCAACATGCAAGTTTCGAGAGCTTGAGGGCTCAGGACTTCTGGAGCAGTGGCTGTAGATGCCTCGATCGCCTTCAAGGGGGTCATACCGCCCACTTGAACCGCCAGCTCGAGACCCTTACCGTTGTGGCCGTGACTTACTGGGCTTTCTTTTGCTGATGCCATGGTCTGACCTGCTGGCGATCTTGACGCCGGCAGCCACCGCAGCCCGGTATGCGTTAGCATGCTGCTCTGCTACTGGTTTCAGCTTCTCGAATGCCCTCTTTAAGTGGCTGTGGCTAAGCGGTCGTCCATAATCTCGCGGGTAGGGACTAAGTTGATCCCTTTCTCCTTCATCAGCGCAATCGCCTCGTCATCTAGACAGGTTACGTGCTCGATTGTGGTGGAACCCCTCGAATCGCTGCCTTAATATCTGCCAGACCGTGACCGTGCGCCGCAATTGACCGCTGAGCCTGAGTTGCCTCCTCGACCATGGTCTTGATCTCCTCATCGGAGAACAACTTGTGCTTCGGGTCGTCACAATCGCTAGACGCACCTCGACTTGTGCAAAACTTGATGCATTTGACGCCACGACGTCGTGCGCTGTATGGCACGCGCTATCCCAACTCGGTGATGTGGAGCGGCGAGCTGCGGGTCTATGGGGCCATTCTATATCCGTTTACGATTACCTTTCTAACCGGGTCCTTTTCAGCTTAACCCTGATTGGTAATGGTGGTCTCTGCAGAATAGACACGATGTGATATTCTATTTCATCCATGTCATCTCAATTACACCGGCCCACGGATTTCGGCATACGGTCAAAGCGCTCAAATCTGGACTTGATCAAGTGCCGATATAGTCTCGGTGACCTTGGCCGGAGGACATGACGGAATGGTCTGTAAGATACTGTCCATTGTTGTCTGTTGCCGCTCAGGACTATTCAAACCACCGGGCTCCCTTCGAACTACTTTCAAGATTAGTGACGCTACCCCGCGCTTTCCAGTGAGCAATGTAAATGCCCCGTAGTCTATATATTATTGCTCAAATCGCCCCAACAACTGAGGGCAATATGGTAGTTTGTAAACAACCACCACCTGTGAGGTCCTGGCCATGGTGCGCTCTCTAGTTGTACCACCCTGCCTTCTGGGCACTCCAGTCCAAGCAACCTTTCTTCCAACTCCTTCCGGGCCGGCTAATGTCCGCGTCGCTCATTTTCCTCGGACAGACATGAGCTGAGTGAACCATTTTGCACCGTGTTGCAATGAGCCACGTCGGCTGATGCTGACACTACATCAGCTAAATACCTATCTACAGACTGAACACATCACCTACGTACCGGTCACGTCGGCGGCAGCATTTACAGACCTATTTTCATGCTACCTACCAAATATAAGCTTCGACAACTTCCAGCTACAAGTGTGCCCGGAGCCGCCAGAGAACAACACTGCACTGCTTCTATTCTTCTCTCCCGGCTACTTGGCCCCTCGTGTGGTATACGCTATAATAATACAGTGGGTCCCCTCATTGGGTTTCAATGTACTTGTGATAGATCATGCCCATGATGGCACAATCGTCGAGTACACAGACAACAGTTATGTGGCATAACTCCATGTTACAATCACGGACAATATCCTCACACTACTTGAACCTCGCATTGCGGACGTCTCCTTCGTATTTGACACCGTGACCAACGGTACCCTTTGCCAGCAACTCGGAATACCCTCGCTAGACACCGACCGAATGGTCATATTCGGACACACCTTGGGAGGTGCTAAAGCTGTTGGTGCTTTGCTGGCGAAGTCACGACTTCGGGCCGGCTGCAACATAGATGGAGGTCTCTAGGGAGATGAGATCACCATGATCAGCAGTCGTCCGTACCTCCTATTTACTGCAGGGAACCATCCGGCGTGGAAGGTCTCGTTGGCGGAGAACTGACCTTACCAGATGGGCCGGTGCATAACCCGCTAACCGACTTCCTGGTCCTCCCACAGCTTCTGGGGACAAACCGGACTGACTCGGCCGTTGAGGCCTTCATTGCATCTATTGATTTGATTCTTCCATGAGATACTAGAAGCGAAGTACGCAAATCTGCTCGACATACCGAGCCCAGAATTTCCTGAAGTGTCCTTCAACAAAACGTCCTCTGGCGTACACGACTGAGATCTGCGGTGCTCTTTGCGACGAATCGAGGAAATCGTGCCGGGGCGGAGTTGGTTAGCTGGCGTCGACCACGACTCGCCGAATTAGACGGAGACGTGGTATTCAGTTCTGAGATACAGTCCTTCATCAGTGTCAAAGCGCCTCAGTCTCTGCCACCAAGCAGATCCCTAATGCGAGCCGTCCTTGGCGCTGGTCTTAGAATTCTAGCACCGAAATTCGATTAAAACGTCAATCTCATGGCGACATCTTTTCCCATAGAGTTCTCTAGCTCCTAAATCCTCTCAAAATCATTGGGCAATCTCTCGCCCTTGACCCAGGCCGATACCCCTTGGGCAAAGAGCTCTGGAAACTGCATGTCCCATCCATGCGTTGCCTCTCTTAGCACAATTGCTCCCGACCCATCCTCAGGCCACGCTACGTCCTGTTCAGTCCGCCTGCTCTTCAACGCTTCGCCCGTCTTCTCTATCATAGGCACATCATCCCCTTGCGCCCCCGCAACAGACAGTGTCCGTACTTTCAACTGGCGCACGTGATCCAGGGTGAATGACAAGATCCACGGGAACATATCTTGGACCAACTCCCAAGTGATGTTGTCCCTCATCTCAGCCACCAATTCGTCGCTAAGTTTCAGGCCGAGTAGCGAAGCTTGATACCGGTAAACCCAGTCAGGGAGCCAATGCAGCATAAACCTCATCGTATAATAGGTCAGCCTTGTCCAGCGCGCCATGAACAGGCGTATTCCGACCACTGGCGCAGCACCTGTAACAAAGAGTGAGAGGACGAGGTCGTGGTGGTGCAAGGCGAGGCACTGGCCTATGTAGCCTCCCATGGAGACGCCAACGACGTGTGCCTTTCCGCCATGGGCGTGCGATCGAATGAGTTGTGCGACATAGCAGGCTGAGTTATCGATCGTGCCCGGTTTAATGTGGCGTGACGCAGAATGCAACGGTAGGTCAGGGGCGAGGACATGGTACTCAGAGAGGTGCGGAAGCACGAGCGCAAATTCGAGGCGGCATGTGAAGCCTCCGTGGAGAAGGACAATAGTTGTCGGCTTTTCGTCGTTCAATGAGGTAAATGACAATGATCTTGCTGACGAGTCTGCTGGTGACGATGAGGCCATGACGAACAATCTTTGAGATAGAAATGGTGAATGAGCAGACCATTTGATACATGTCCTGTGGCTTCGATTGGGTACTCCAGGTATCTACCTCGGTAGTTGCTGGGTAGGTACCTACATACCTAGTGAAGTGTTTCGGTTAAGTCTGATGCTTTTGAGGGTGTCAAATACGCTAACCGCTCCAAGATTCTCGTTTACAGTAGGTCCGTAAAAGTCACCGGACACTAGGCCCTTGGCACGCTTCCTGAGTACTACCCCCCCATACACTTCGTAGTTTTTTTCTATATATTTACTATAGTAGAATAGTACAATTAGTATTAATCGATAGCTTAAGAGAAGTACTTTCAGAATCTCGCATCTTCCAGATTAGAACCGTGTATACCAGCCCTTAGCCTCGATAACTACGTTGACTCTCTCGTCCATTGACTTAATAGCATTCTTAATCTTTTTCTTGTCCAGACTTACCTAGGCCCTTGAGATGGCGTTTGTAAAGCGATTAAGGACCTCCTGTGAGTCTCCTACTGTATCGCGAAGGCCTGGATCGATGGCATTAACGAGGCATTTTAGCTCGAACTAGAGGTTCTCGATAGGGTTCAAATCTAGCGAATATAGTGGCTATTTCATTACATCTATTCTATTATCGTTTAGCCATTCTATAACCTTTTTCGCCTTATAAATAGGCGCGTTATCCTACATGAATATCCTGCTAGGCTCCTAGATCGACGGGATGTTATCGGTAAGGACCTAGATATAGGAATTAGTTAAGTAGCCCATTTTCGCTGACTCCTAGTCACGCGAAAGAATGTAGGCATCGGACGATTCGCCTTCGCTAAAGATCGCTACCTAGATCATGATTAAGACGTCTTTAGTCATGCCTTTCTCAGTAATCTTATCCTTATCCCACTTCTCCTAGGGCGTTCGAAAGACCCATTCTCGCTTATTACCACTGCCGCGTTGAATAGAGCATTCGTCGCTCTAGATGACTTTAAGCCAATCCTCCTACGTCCAGTCTTTATAGGCTATTACCTATTTAAAGCGTTACTTAGTACGTTCTTCTGTAAGTCTAGGACGCTTTTTCGCTAGCCATTTCTTGATATTATTATCTCTAAGTAAGCGTAAAATAGTATCATCGGATACATCAAGTTAAAGCCTTTTTCTCAGCTTAACGTAGGAGATCTTCGGTGAGAGCTTTACAGTACGTAGAATAAGTCTCTCTGAACGCTTAGATATCTTTTTAGGTCTTCCTATACGAGCGTTCTTATCTGGTTGTGGATTCCGTAGGATATCTAAGACTGTTGATTTCGGGATGTTTGTAGTACTCGCGATTTCGCGTACAGATTTCCCAGCTAAATGAAGGCCATATACTGTTCCGCGCTTAAAATCAGAATATTCGCGTCTCGAAGGCATCTCTATAACAACTAAACAACAAACGGAGCGATGGTGGTTGAGAAATAATCAATTGAATTATCTGTATCTATTTGGTGGTGTGGGTGCTAAGGGCCTAGTGTCCGGTGACTTTTGCGGACCTACTGTAGAGGCGTCATGGGAAGGGAATTTAGTGGCAATTACGCCTATAAATTTAGGGGCTCACTCATGAATGTCCCTGGCTGCCGAGTGTCTGTCTGTACTGGAGTCCTCTGGATCCCCCTTCTATCGTCGTTTAATCTGACTCTACGGAGGTCTTATCAGGAGTGTCTGTTCCCAGTAGATTCGCGGTGATACTTTCCAGCCTAAAGGCACCAGTTCACAAAAGAGACGCCGATATCGGCACGGGGACACGGCCACTGAATCACGGCTCTGCAGTTCTAAGAGCCCGCCTGTTCCACAATGAAAAGTCAATCTACCATCAACGCATTACCTCGACACTGGTGCATTCCAGAGCAAATCCAGCCTATATGGTAGTTGACCTCGAATGGACGAGTGTCGACACGCCGCTACGATCCCTCTTGCGACATTCACAAAGCTCGATAGTTAGTTATCTCGTGGTAATTGTGATGGACAGGCATGGGGACCAAACAAGAAAGCCAATTCACGGGACTATGAACGCTACTATAGTTTAGCATGCTCTTCAAGTGACACCTCTCGTCTCGCGGGTCCCCTCGACTGCCGTCACCCTCGAACGCATTATTCCTTCGCTCGTGTGACTTGTACTCTGTTCGGAACTGCCATCTGTGCGCCAACCGAGTTTCAAGACGCCCGTGTATCAAGAGGCTAACGTATCTTCCCAAAACCAGAAGGAACTTGAAAGCGCCTGTGGCACGGTTAGTCAGTGGCCTTCCTCAAATCACATGTCCTTGTACTTACTGCACATTGCCCTCACCAGCGATGAAAATGTTAAGACGAGCTTGATGAAAATCCATGATCAGTCCCCTGTAGGAGTATCCGTACACCAGCAAACGGTCACCTTATCAAATGCACGGTCGGCGAGTTCTGGAAATACCTCTCTGAGACCCTCTCTGAGCCGATGTTCTCCATCTTCAGGTACGAAATTGGAACGCTGCGTGCCCTGGGGTATCCAAAGCGATAGCGACGAGTTGCTGGTAATCTTGGAGTCCAGGACAGCGACCTCCTCACTACCCAGCAGCCGCGTATAGGCCCAGCCATGGACGACCACTTTCAGGAAGTTTGTCTCTGGGTAGGGAGGGAAAACAAACCATCCCGTCGAAAGTTGATGCAGATGGGGAGATTGCGGTACTTGGTCATCTCGGCGTCTGTCAGACGGAGAAATGCGAGGACCTAGCTAGTAGAAAAGACTGAATTGTGCATGTCAACGAGATTTTGGGTCCAGGCTCGGCAGCGAGAACGAGCAAGTCTCCCAACGCCTGTGTGCCAGCGGGGTTCGCCGCGTAGTGACCTTGCCTGTGCTGTCCGCCTGGAGACCGACCATAGTTCCAGCCCGGCCTGTGACGAAGGACACCCTGAGTTCGAGACATTCGTTGCGGAGTTAAGTGATGGCGTTCTCAGTGTCGACCCAGCCAGCCTGCTCGTGCTGGTAACATTCAAAATTAGGACCCGTCAGGGGCCCGCTGAGAACCTGGTACAGGCGCTTGGAGGCCTCAGCAGTGTCCAATTTCCTCCATGGGAGAACTTGCCTTGGCCAATGCCGCCGTGGTCCTGTCGATGTAAGTGCCCGGGCTCCTCGTGTTGCTGGTGAGAAGAAACGCCGACGGGCCAAAAGTGTGGCTGTACTTGGGACGTTGTGACCACTTCTTATACGCATCATAGGCGAGGCGAAGATAGTCTGGATCTGCATAGTCGAATTGCATCACACGTGAGATGTCTACGCTCGAGCCGTCAGCAACCTTTGGACACTTAGCATACCTCTCAAACGAGGTAGACTCTTTCCTTACTGGGGCAACATGCCGATGCAGGACTGTGATGTTGTGATAGCCTTCAGAAGCCAGCTCATACGCCGTGGTCAATCCAAAGGCCCGGGCGCCCACGATGATGATGGCAGCGTCTGTCTTCATCTTTTTTGTCATCGTCAGTTAAATAAACTCTTGTTGTACACAGCTGTATCATTCGAGTTCAAGCTCTTATGCTGGTAGATAGGAAACAGAAAGGCCAATGAACGAGGCTGTAACAATGGGTGCCACATGGACCCGGACACCGACGGCATTCGACCCGGACTTCCAATGACTTGAGGGCAAAATTAGCATTCCCGATGAGTGAATGGTGTGATCTCGCCTGTTTAGTGGTTATCTTGAAACGGGTTTGACCGCAGGAGGGATCTCCAACTGGTCTTGAAGAGCGACGGGAAGGGGAGGTATCACGGTTTTGCTATCGTTGGCGGAAGCTAGCCCCGGAGTTGTGCTTGGAGGCAACGTCTCGGTGTGTAGCATCGACGATAATAGATTTTGCAGACTCCATGACCGAAATTTTGATCTTGAGATCATGAAGCCTTCGTGGGTTGTCAGGGCTTGTCCGTCCCTGGGGCCAACCGATCCTGCCATACCTCATCTCGAGGTTGTCTTGGTGGCGGCGAGCCCGCGTCGCGTGATATTGCACACAGCAAACCTGGGGGTAATTTTCATGTGAGAATTCAAGCCCGGCCCCATGTGTGACGTTTCGCATGACCAGGTCAGTGACTGTATTACTTGAGCTCGAGGTCAGGTACACACCCGGTGTCGCACGAGATCAGGAGCGAGTCCGTTTGCCCTACTTTGACTTGCATGGTGGCCATCAACGGTGAGCCTGTGTGTGGGCCGGGGCAGGGTCTCCGTGTTCCGTAGAATACTAGGTACCAATCAAGTACGGGCTGACGGCGGCTAAGGAGGGAGAGAGGCAAGGAGGGAGAGTACAGCGGACTAAATCGTGCGACAGGTGTTGATGTGAAATTCGGATAGACTGGTGTCGGTGCTGTCTGGTTGTTGTTGTAAGACCCTTCGTTGCGCCCAGACGCTCGAGTTGTCTTGAGCATCAGGCTCCAAGATGGTCAAATACATGACACTTGGGGCGAACCGAGCCGGGTATGGATAAAGTGACATGGTAATAAGCATGGATGGCGAGATGGGTATGCAGCAGGTACCGAGAACATCGCGCCAAGCGAGACCCTGTCCGCGTCGTACCATTCATGTTCCCCAGCTCCCCCTCAATCCGCAAGCCTCACCAGCTTCCACAGCTTCAAGCCAGCTGATATGGAGGTATCACCCACAATTCCCCATTGTTGGAGAACTTCTCACGCCACAAAGCCACCGCAGCATCATCTTACAATGTCTTTATCACATTCAGATCCTCTGCTCCGCAATCGTCGCTCTTCCGGATCAAGATCTTGGCTAGCTTGGTCAGTGCCTGCAATACCAGTATCTTCTAGAAAATGGCCCACGACCAAGTGCCGGCGATCATGAAGGCCCATGTACTGGAGGAGTACAACACGCCTTATCAACTGCGCGATCTCCCGGTGCCAGCCATCGAATGTGTACATGACATCCTCATCAAAGTAGATGCGGCTTCATACTGCCACACAGATGCAGTCCTCGCTTCGGGAAAAATGCGCCCTCCACCTCTTCCACACATAGGCTGCCACGAATTTGCCGGGACTGTCGTTCGCATGGCTGACCAGCCTCCTGCACAGGGGTTGAAGGTGGGCGACCGCGTGGCTGTCCCGGGCCGTGGAAATCATGTCTGTGGGAGATGTCTCGAGTGCCAGAATCCTTCTGGCCCCCTCCCCGATGAGCCTGGCTATTCTGTCTATTGCCCCAACGCTGGCGGCGGTCTTGGCGTAGGCAGTAAACCAGGAGGTTTCCGAGAGTACGCCGTGGTGGACTCACGACAAGTAGCCAAAATTCCCGACAGTATGACCGCCGTGGAAGCTGCACCACTGATGTGCGCAGGACTCACCATCTTCGCGGCACTGAGAAAATGTGAGCTCGAGCCTGGCCAGCGAGTAGGGGTCATGGGATGCGGAGGAGGGCTTGGGCACTTGGGTTTGCAGTTTGCCACCAACATGGGCCTGAAGACAACTGGAGTTGACATAGCGTCGCAGGCGCTGGAACTGGCACGAAGCCTGGAGACCGGTGCTACGATTATCGACGCCTCGACCAAAAGCGCAGCAGAGGCCAAGCAGGAGATGGGCACAGAGGACGGCAGACAGCATCTATCCGAGATGGGACTGGACGCTGTAATCATCTTGCCCGATAGTCAGAAGTCTTTCGATTACGGGATGGAGCTGCTGAAGAACGGCGGCCTCTTGGTTCTGGTATCTTTCCCACCCGAGGGGTTCCATATCTCAGCAGACGACCTGGTCTTTCGTCGCATTCGCGTGGTTGGCAGCTTAATTGGTTCCAACAAAGCCATGAGAGACATGTTTGATTTCTGCGTCAAGAAGGGCGTGAAGGCAAAAACCAGAACATATCCCTTCCCGAAGCTCAACCAATTGGTGACCGACTATCACGCGGGCGTCGGTGGCAAGCTGGTCCTAGACATGTCAATGAAGGAGTGAATGACTTTACTCCTCACTCTAGGGAGTCTGTATGGTTTGCTCATCTGTGGCCAGATCTCGATTGTATTGACTACAGGGTATATTCAGTCCAAATCTTAACCTTGGTGATGAGATCAGAATTCCACCGCAGCCTCGCTTTCAATGACTCAGTTTGCATTCCTCACCGTCAATAATATGCAGCCGCCCTGTGGTTCGTCGGAATGTCGGAACGGTTTACGTCTCCCGCCATCCTCAATACATTTATTCAATCTCGTCATCGGGAGGTGTTGCCGTTTTCATTATGCTTTGACACGAGACGTCGATCTGGGGTCAAAAACCCCCTGCGGTCCGCCGACGTCATGAATGTGAACTTTCTACCAAGTGTCTGCATCAGTCCAAAGGGCGGCAAATCTGGGGGTGAGGGTCATGAACAGCAGCGGCTGTCTATTTCCCCGCAAATTCTTTCCCCGAACCTTCGGCTTTTGTTGTCGAGGGGCATTACAACCGACGTGGGACAATCAATCAAATCCCGTAGATCAGCGCAAAACCGGCAATCCAGCCGGAGAACGAGCATGATTGAACATTTTAGGAACTTCAAGGTAGACTCCACAGCCGCTCGTGTTGGTTGCCTAAAGACGGACAGGACACGCTTCGTTGTGATTGTCTACAAACTCCCTTGGGCTTGATGCACTCCATGCGAGTATCGCTTCTGCATTTTGTCGGCTATTAATTTGTTAAATTCAGCGCAAAAGGATTCCTTCAATGCGCCAGGGTTACTGCTGACAGTTACAGTAGAGGATTCCTTATGCGCAATGTCGTCGTCGTGCGCTGACGGCTATGCCGCCTACCCGTCCCAGGAGCCTCTAGCGATCACACCGGGTTTGCTATACAAAGTCAAGATCGACACATCCAATACAAGGGACCCCAAGTGTTCCCAAGAAAGCTTAAGCGCAATTGGCAGAGAATCCAAGATAGTCAAGACCGGACAACAACCATCATCCACAAAGCCAAGGGTTCTTGTGTAGACGATCGTCATCTACGCATCCGAGACTTCAGCGCGTTGTAACGCTGGTCCGGAGTCGTTCCGATGGATCTGCTCGATCATTTCCCCTTTGTTTAGAACATGTGAGTGATCCAACCAACAAGAGCTGCCAATATCACCGTCCTTTGGCCCTCCGACCCACCGAGAATCCTGCTACAGATACTGCTTTGGCAACAGAACGTTTTGCTGGAGACCCCGGCCCCATGGTTGCGGGGCATGATGTACATTCCGACTTCCTCATCGAAGACGCTGCGCGTGCCAGCCATGCAAGGTCGCCATCTATCTTCCCTCCCCCCAGCTGGGTCCGTTGCTCGCTCGCTGGGACCCCGTGGAGATTGTGAGCGATGAGTGTCTGCCCCCGCCTGAACATGTGGGTTGCCAGTTGGAAGTGATAAACCTGAATAAGCCCTCCAAGGGTCTTCTTCTCTTCTACAATCAGTCCTGCCAACCTATCCTACCACCGGATACAGTACCAATATGGCATCGCAAGATCCTCAGATCACGCACGATCCCGCCACGAACAGGTAAGCACCTGCCCTGCCTAGCCTTACAGAGCAATGTGCCTGACATGGAAAGCGGCGACGATGAGAAGTATGTGGGTGAAAAGCAAGAGACGACATATATCGACCTGGAGAATAGCGCAACGGCAAAGTAGGACAACCTCCTGCCGCCTACATGCTACATTTGTGGCTGAGAAATGATAGGATCAAAAACCCCTTGGCTCACCTTTCCACTGAGGAAGTCATCAAGGATGTTGAGGAGTTCGCAAGGAGCAATGACTTCACGGACCTCACAGACCTCCTCGTAAAGGGCGCGCTTGTCGCAAAGGATCCTCCTGCCTTTGAGAGCGTTCCAGGTCTTACCGAGCCGGAGAAAGAAGCCATTCGCAACGAGGTCCTGCACAAGTGGCGTCAACCAAAGTCGCTCTACTTCACCATTATCCTTTGCTCTATCGGAGCAGCCGTACAGGGTTGGGATCAGACGGGCTCCAATGGCGCCAACCTCTCCTTCCCTGATGCTTTGGGCATTCCGATCAGCGACCAGTTGGCAAATGGACAACCCAACCCGAACGCAGCACGCAATCAGTGGTACCAAGGCCTGATAAACGCCGGTCCCTACATCGCCTCAGCATTCATGTAAGCCACCTAGACTCACGATGGCAGGTTGTGATACTGACACCGTTAAAGTGGCTGTTGGTGTTCTGACCCCCTCAACAACTACTTTGGTCGCCGAGGAACCATCTTTGTATCTGCCGTCTTTTGCTTCCTGAGCCCAATTGGTTCTGCTGTCGCCCAGAGTAAGTACATCCCTGGCATGAGTGTGGACTCCTTTGCTGACACCCTATAAGCGTGGGATCAACTGCTCGTCACTCGACTTCTGCTCGGCATTGGGATGGGCTGTAAGGGTTCAACCGTCCCCATCTTCAGCGCAGAAAATGCACCTGCGTCGGTTCGAGGTGGCCTAGTGATGAGTTGGCAAATGTGGACAGCTTTCGGCATATTTTTGGGCACTTGTGCCAATCTGGCTGTCAAGGACACCGGCTCCATCTCGTGGCGCCTTCAGTTTGGATCTGCTCTGATCCCCGCCTTGCCTCTTCTCATCGGAGTTTACTTCTGCCCAGGTGCGTTGACCCTACACCTTTCGACCTACACTAGATAACTAACAGGCCTCTAGAGTCTCCCCGCTGGTACATCAAGAAGGGCAAATACCGCAATGCCTTCCAATCACTCCAGCGTCTCAGAAACACCGATCTCCAGGCCGCACGTGATTTGTACTACATCTTTGCTCAACTGCGCATGGAGGCCAGCCTGGTCAAGAAGAAGACCAACTATGTGACGCGCTTTATTCAGTTGTTCACGATTCCACGAGTTCGCCGAGCCACTTTGGCATCCTTCACCGTGATGATTGCACAACAAATGTGCGGGAGTAAGTACAATGAGTCTTCGTTAGCTTTGACGATGTACTGAATCGAAGCACAGTCAACATCATCGCCTTTTACAGCTCCACTGTGTTCTCCGAGGCCGGTGCATCTGTTACTGACTCACTGTTGGCATCCTGGGGCTTTGGGCTCGTGAACTTTGTATTTGCGTGGCCCGCAATTTGGACCATCGACACCTTCGGCCGCCGATCGCTCCTGTTGTTCACGTTCCCGCAGATGGCATGGACCTTGCTCGCTGCAGGTCTTTGCTATTTGATTCCATCGTCAAGTTCAGCGCATCTGGGTCTGGTCGCCCTTTTCATCTACTTGGTGCGTCAAAAACTCCTTCCTCTCACAGTGACAAGGACTATACTGATCCTTTCCAACAGTTTGCAGCCTTCTACTCTCCAGGCGAAGGTCCTGTGCCTTTCACATACTCAGCCGAGGTCTTCCCTCTCTCACACCGTGAGGTGGGTATGGCATGGGCAGTGGCAACCTGTTTGTTTTGGGCAGCCGTCCTCTCAATCACTTTCCCGCGAATGCTGTCCGCTATGAGTCCTGCAGGTGCCTTTGGATTCTATGCCGGTCTCAACATCTGTGCACTCGTCATGATTTTCCTCTGGTTGCCAGAAACCAAACAAAGGACCTTGGTAAACCAAATCTTAACCCTCTAGTCCCTCTCCTGTAACACTTCTGACCTTGAGCACAGGAGGAGCTTGATTATATCTTCGCCATTCCGACCCGCACCTTTATGAAGCATCAAGTAGGCACCGTTCTGCCGTGGTGGATCAAGACTACCATCTTCCGCCGCAAGATAGGTCCTTGCCCTTCACTTTGGTCATTTGATGGTCATGTCGACAACGACAAAGAGTTCGTGGAGACCATCCGCAGACAAAGTGAGGCTATCCAGGGCGGTCGGCGCCGGAGCAGCATTGCAGATAGGATTGCCAACCGATTCTAAACTTGTGTCGGTAGAGGACTACGATGTTGTGGGAAGGAATAGTGATGGGGATATCTCGAACAGGAGGAACTCAGGATAAGGAAATTGCCCAATACCCCGCCGTTGAAGTCTGTGTTAGAAGGATGATCCTAGTTGAGTATAGGTATGCATAAAGCATGTACGTAGAACGTCGTCTAACAAATCATAAAGGCGACAATGATGAGTTTGTGCGAATGAAGTTGTCATTGCTTGATGGTTGCAAATTAAAGGTTAGCACTTCTCACACAGATGACAGATGCTGGACTTTGTCACTTTTCGCACCGTTGTTTCGCCATTGGTCGTAGAGAGCTAGAGTTGGTATTTCAAACATGAGCAACTGTATGTGGTATCATGCGAAAAACCTGTCTTTTCCCTTCACCTACATCTTCCCTCTGTGATTAGCCACTTGCACTCTGACTCACCTAAATCTTCCTGAGTGCTTCCACAGTTTTCCTGTTGCCTGTGTGCCACTAATTTCTCCCCCTCCATACTCATTTTTCAAATCCCTAATTGTCTCTTTCACGCCAAAGCAAACCTCTCTGCGCTAAGTCCGTACCTCCGTTCCAATCGTCTCCCAACCCGTCTCGCCAAGCCAAGTCCCATCTTCGGCGTTGGATGCGGTTCGTGGATGTGAATTCCCCGAGTGTTCGTGTTCTCCCAATTCAATCCATCCAATGGAGTGAACTGCCATACGGAGCCATATAACTTCTCCGCTGCGAAGCCGATGCTTGTCATTGCGCGCAGGAATCTGTCCAGGCAATTTCGCCGCCTGGGGAGGGATTAGAGGATGTTGGGAAGAGAAAGGCGAAGACTTTGTGAACGCGTCGCGGCAGGGTGAAGACTGGGAAGGGCGGAGTCGGATCGTCAGGCAGGGCTCGTGTTGCGTTGCTAGAATCGGGAAGGGGATATGGGCCGCGAGTTTTGATCTTGGGTGCTCGAAATACTTCGGGTCCTTTGAAGCTGCTCGGTTTGTCGGGTTCGACCTTAAGGCGGGAAAATGAGTCACTAAGAGCTTCGTTTTCTTTCCCCTTGTTGTTCGGCTGGGACACTCTTGGCGGAGGTGTCCATTCGGGAGTACGATGGATCTCTCGAGCTTTCACATCATGACTGAGGAATATCTCGTGAAGTGTCTTGTCGGTATGTTTCTCAAAATGCGCATCGACGACCTCCCACAACCTATCCAGTTGAGCTTCAGCTTGACGACAGGCATTCACGTTTGTCACGCTGTTGGCCTTTTCGATGGGATATTTCAGGTGTTTTGAGAATGGCACGACGATGCGTGCGAGATTCGGACATCTTCCGATGCTTTAGCGAAGCTCGGACCTCTCTTCTCTGGGCTCATGTCCATATCCAAACCCGCAGCCCATGGAAAGAAGGTCTTTACCTGCCCAATGATTTGTACAATGAGGGATAGGTTGGAGAGATACCCGGCGACGTAGGACGACATTCTGCCCTTCTGACCAGGGTCGCGGTCAACGCATCGCTGTAGCTCATCGACGAGATTGGGAAGCTGGGCTAAAAATACTTTGTCTGCATCCCACAGCATGGCAAATAGCTGTAGTAAGGGATCACTGCCGGCACTCTGTTTCGTCATGGCTCGCATGATGGTTGTTCCGGGTTTTTGGGGTTCTCGAACAAAGCGCTCACGTATTGGTGGTGAAGTTGGCACAGCAGTCTTCAATTCTGCAACCAGGCCCTTTGAAACCATCTCGGCAGCAAAGCATAACTTCACCAAGGCGGTGTTGAGCTTCTCAGGCAGAGGCCGGTTAGGGTAAAGAGTTCCGGCAGATTTGAATGCCTTGTCTAGACTGACTGCGTATTTGTAAAGGATATCCCAACTGAGAAAGGACATGTGAGCCTCGACAGCTACGCTCCTCAGCACTCGGTTCCAGAAAACTTCGTCATCGTCGTGTGGATGGCGTTGGCCCCGTATGTCGAGAAGGCTTTTCAGGCGATGCTGCGCAAGATCAACAGCTACCGATGCGAAATATCCTGGATCTTCTCTAAGAAACCAAATGTGGTCTTCATCAGCAGCCCGCTTGGCCTCGACCAGAAGAACAAGTCCGTGCGTTTCTAGTCTGGCTGGTGGTCACTACGGCGCTTCAGCTGCCAACGAAGAAAGTTGTGCATAAGAGATCTCTGAAGCAACGATCGGTGGTGGCTCAGGTTGCTCAAGAAGTTGGAGGCTGGCCAGCTCGTCTCGTGGTACATCATGGAATAATTGATAACAGCACTCGAGAAGAAAAGAATAGATCTGGCTCTGGACTTCCAAAAGGAGAAGCCCCGTTCCTGGCTGAAACTGGAGACCCTTTTGCATGAGCATGAATGCGTCGTCGGCATCGTCCCAGCTAACAAGGCGGCCATAGCTACCTGCACCTGATATGCTAGAGATGTACATTGTGTATCCATTGAGGAACACCGCGATAATCATCTTGCTGGTCTGTCCAACATGCATTGCGTTGAGATCGGCGCGGGCAAAGGTATGGGGTGGATTTCGACCGCGTTAATTCAAGAACAATAACAATGCTCGTCCTTGGAGAAGATCTTCCTGGTTGACATAAGGATACTTGAAAGCTTCGACATCTCTTGATGCAGCACGCGATGCTGGCTTCTCAAGCTCATGAAAATCCGGTCGGTGTCGCTCAGGCATGCCTGGCCAACCGGCTAAGAGTATTTTCTTGCGTTGTTCTTTTCTCTTGTTCATCCAGTGTTTTCGAATCACCTCCTCGCAACGCGCCAAAATGTTACGGAGTGTGGATCAGCTCCTGAATATCTCTTTGGCATATGCCCTTAACTTGTTTCTGACTTCAGCAGGTGATGGAAATGAGGGGGGAACTGGTAGATTTGGGTTTGCCCGACTCATCATTTCGAAGAATGCTTGTGGGTTGTTGTACAAGGAAGACATGTTGGGGTCCATGATATCCACCCAAACAATGTCACAAAGGTTCAATAGTACACTAACACGCTATTGCGTCTGGTCTGGCGAGGAGAAAGATGCTGTCGAATGTCCTTTATGACTTTACTGGGCAGAGGATAGAGGGAAAGGCAAAGATTGTGGGGCAGGAAGAGATCTAGCCAGGTGGACGCGGGCTTAGTTGACACGTGGTCCCGGGTACCAGCGAACAGTTTACTCCCTTTCCTAATAGGGAGCTTCCTTCCACGCGCCCTTTGGCTCCATGACGGATTGTGATGTTCTTCTGGCTGTCATGCTGTTATGCCGTTGATAAACAATTCAGACATGTCCTTGAATCTTGCTTATCCAAGTCTCACTCCTCAAGCATCTTCTTGCACGCGACTCTCTTTCGAGGCTGATATGCCTCGAGACCTGCGCCCGCTGGTCTCCTGATAACTACGTCATGCTCACGTATGCATCTTTCAACCGGCTGGTGCCGCTGGTGCCGCCAACATCCATGTGGCCAGCCTTCACCACCATGAGTACCCAAGTATAAATAATCATGCCCTACCCACCGTCTTAGTGTGCATCTTTGCCCACAGTCGAGCCTAGCTACCCTTATCCTGCGAGCGAAGCAGAGAAGCAGAGACCACACTGACACCATCCAAAAATGGCCGAAAAACTGCAGCAGAAAACCCTAAACATCGTCGACGACATCAAGTCGGGACTACACGGCATCCACGGCGCAGGTGATGCTCTCCGGGGTGGCGCCATGGAGGTACTTGACAGCGTCTTCCACAAACAGGAGGGCGAGCAGAGGAATCGAGAGATCGCCGCGCATGGTCTGGCAGAGATGAGGGGTACCGAAGACCGCTTTGAAGATAGGCACCATCAACACGAGGCACACCATCTGGGAACTCAGCAGGACGGTGGAACTGAGCACCATCCCCACCACTCTAGCCAGGGACAAGGAAGTCACTTCGCCGACGCTCATGCAAGAGACATGGCGATCGAAGAGCATCGTAAGGCAACAGGAATCGTGTCAGAAGAGGGTGACAGCATGAGCGCTGCACGGGCGGCGATGCAGGAGAAGTATTAATTGGTCAGGGACACATTGTCTCCTTGGGAGATGACCGATGGTAATGTTTGATTAGAGATCTTCTGCTTCATCCTCGCCTGGCGCTATTGATTATTGGGCCTCAGAATTCCGAGATTCCATCTTTCACCACGATTTTTCCAACATCATCATCTCTTGCTCCCTCCACAACACTTTTGATGAACTCTCCACCGATACTGGGGTGCTTCGCCCCCATCTCTTTGGCCAACAGTCGTGCGTTCCCCAGATCCGTCTCCAAGAATCCAGGCCCAACAGCCCAAACCTTGACTCCGTCTGCCTTCAACTTGTGATTCCAATCCACCATCAACATGTTCAGCGCTGTCTTACTGCACCGATACCCAATTGTCTCGAAATCGATCTTCTTCGGCCACCCAGCAGGTTGAGGCGGGGTGGGGAAATAGGACCTGCTCGCTTGTGTGACATTGGAGAGACCTGTGACGAAGATCAAACGAGGATCTGGAGACTTGAGCAAGAGTGGCATGAATTTCCAGGTTAAAACGTTTGTACCCGCCACGTTGACGTTGTACGATCTCATGAAGGAATCGCGGAGGCTAACCTCGCCGGCCACGAAGGCGAGGTCGAATGTCGCTCCTGTACGCTTGGGAGTCAGCTCAGGTCGGGGAAACATGACGCAAACGAGCCGCAGGATACTGTACCAGCATTATTTATGAGTGCGTCGATTTGTCCCAGCTTCGTCTTCACTTGATCGAATGCCATTTCGATCGACTCGTCACTGTTGAGATCGACTTGGAGCACTTCCACCGTGTTGGCAGAGCCAATACATTCTTCGTGCAGCTTCTCCATCGCACGCTGCGCCTTCTCTAGAGAACGACTGCCCATAAGGACATGATATCGCTGGTTGGATTGAAGAAGCGCCTTGACTGTCTCGTAGCCAATGCCATTGTTGCCACCTTTCTCGTGCTCAGCGCCGCCACGACAAAATAACGCTAAAAACCGAGTGATAAGGACAAGGACAAGGACTCACCAGTTACAAGAGCAACTCTTCGGGCAGCCATTGTCGCACTCGTCAATAACTCTTCCAGCGAGTCTCTTCCCTTGTCCTCTTGGTCGCGAAGACTGGAATCGCTCTGGTGGTATTCAGCTGCTAACCCAACGTCTCCAAACCTCCAGTCTCGACCTGAGTATGCTGTTCCTTATATGCTCCGCGTCCGAAGATTCAGGTCGAGCACGGGTTTAATTGTCCCTTTTGACGGTTACAAGGGTGAATCCTGGCCCACGGCATCATGTCAGCTCAAAAACTCCACTCAAACCTTTGGTATTTCATTGGCGATGTAAATCATCCACAAACCTGAGCTATTCCTCCTCTGGACAAACCCTGCGAGACAGGGCAAATGGTTCTGATGATGATGCAAACCTACTGTTAGCTTGGTCCACGGACCGGAATTGTTCCATTACTACTGGCCAGCCTGCTCCCTGCATACACCATGAGTGCTTGAGAGTTTCTTCATGCTGCCAAGTACCTCAGGCAGCCGGACTCTCGATGGGGACGCCTCCTGGCGAGCTCATCAGAAGGCTCACGAGGAGCACTGAACGAGTAAGCAAATTCACAGATAAGACAATGTGAAAGATCTTGTAGAAGGAAGAAGGGGGAGAAGTAGTTGCAAAAGTTACTAAGTATTTAATGCTGCGCTTTACTTGCCTCCTTGGCTGGCATTCAGTGGGAACATATTAGGGCTAGTGAGGGACACGCGTGCGGCTAGTTGTTAATCATTGTCAGACAGTCATTTCAATCCAACATATCAAGGTTCAAAGGTCGAATTAATTAAAGACCATGTGGATATTCTGAAGAGATAGCAACCTACTCCGAGCCCCATAAAACAGAGACAAGTGGCTATCTGGGCTATGCCATAACCATTGAGCCCAATACACACCAACTTTCCAGAGTAGGTAGACCGTGAAAGATTCATCTTCCACTGCATCACCTTTAAGATGTCTATGCAATCCAACAATGCAGAACCCAGAAGCAGACATCCACAACTTCCCAGCCTCCCCATCCCAGCATCGACTGCCGACAGTTTCCGCGATTGAAGCCCTGCAAAATATAACATCCAAATGTAAAGGGATACCATGCAGTCTCCCAGCTTTGGACGAAATCCTTACAAACGACCGCAATGGACTCTCGAGGGCTACGCCTGGGATTCAAAGGGGCTACGTTACTGAAGTCTACGGACCACCAGGCGTGGGGAAGACCACCTTTGGCCTACAAGCTGCTGTCAATGCAATTCAATCCCGCCAGGAAGATTCCGAGGTCCTGTGGATCGATACAGGTTCTCCTTTTATCGGAGGAAGACTGGATGACCTGATGCGCACATCCACAGTCCCTGCGGAGACTGATCCCCCTTCATCACCTCCAGTGCCTTCGAATGCCGACATACTCCTGGAAGAAAACTTTACTCACCTCAGCGCCTACACGCTGCCTCGTCTGTTGACAGTCTTTTTGCATCCTCCCCACTCCTTTCCCTCCGCAAAGACGTGTTTGATCATCGTCGACGACCTCTCCAATCTCCTCCTTGGCTCATTTTCACGAAATCCACGAAATGTGAAGGCTTCCGCGCCGGCAGCCGTAAGGGAGAAGTTTGAAAAGCAAGCTGTGTCGAAACGCTTTCAAATTATTGAGAACCTTGGAGCCGCCATGTCAAAGATGGCGGCACTCAAGAACATTGCGATCCTAGTCCTAACGAACACGACAACGAGCTTAAGACGTCATAATAGGGCAACCTTGAAAGCGGCATTAGCCAGCCAGGCTTGGGACTCTGCAGTACATACCCGAATTATGCTTTATCGTGACTTTGCCGAGGATGGACACGGCCTCGACATCTCAGGGAGGCAGTCAATGGGCTTGCGTTACGCGGAAGTTCAACGAATGGCCTGGAAAGACATCTGCACAAGCCCGATCCCGTTTGCTATCCTGTCAAAGGGCCTTCTGCAATTCAACGCGGCCACTTTGCCCAGTCAAGGTCTAGTTGATTCTCGCCTCACTGATGACGTCGGAGTTTTCGATGTTGCGAAAGAAGAGGAACGCCCGCTACTCCCTACAGAACTCTCCCAGCCATCCCAGAGTGATATGCCAGCGCAGGGCAGAAAGCGGAAAATTATCGAGATCGGTGACAGCGAGGAGGAGGGCGAAGAAATCGGCACTGACGCGCCATCAGAATCGGACGAACCCGAGCTCCCAATCATGGATTCGAGACCTCGTACGATAATCGATGAGATGATCCTCGAGACACACGAGACGGCACTGTTGAGAAGGAACCGCTACATCCGTATCAGAGGCTCGGAGGACGACATTCCTGTGCCGTCATCGGATTTAGCTGCGGAGGTCGACACAACTTCACCGCCCGATGAATATCGCCCGTGAGAATCACAGGTCCAGATGATGCATGTATATCTGGCAGCAAATAATCGTTGTGATTCTAGCTCCTGCATTCTAGGACAAGCTTTGTTCCGAAAGTTTTCCTGTGGTTGCAAGATCTAGCGTCAACGAATTGCAGGAGACTGGGCACATACTACCTGGACAAGAAGCCCTCGGGCCCGATGGCTGCGGGGTGACCTATTTTAAGTGCCCCTCCCTGCTGCGGTGATCGCACCTAGATGGTGCCTGCGTCTGACCTGAATGACTTTCGACCCCACCAACCACCAAAGCAGCTGTGCGCAGCCATCGCAGCCCCGGATGCAAATTGGTTTGTCTGACGAACAAATATCAACATGGTTCCTCTAGACGGCATTTTGGCTTGTCTGGGGCGCATTTCAGAAATCAGCTGAACACACACCTAGTCACCTTCTCTTGCGGTTGCTCACAAGAACTCTTCTTTCATGAATCTCTCGTGCTCAGGCTTTCTTCTGGGCTCTTGAAGCCAGCTTTGTTCTCTCTAGGCGTACCGCTCGTCTGTGACCTCTCTGTTTCCCCGCGCCCTCAGCCGTCAGCATCCTCTTGCTTGCCTTCAGTTCTACGATCCTTTACCTAGACCGCAGTTCAGCTGAAGGAACATTTGAAAAGAAAAACTGGATATGGCGTCGCAAGGGCAACAAAAGCCGCAGATTCAGCCTTGCCGTTACAAAACTGGTGTGCTTATCAGTCGGACATCGAATGGAGCATCTTGCTTACGTTCTACGTAGGGAAAACACTCGGCGCAGGCTCATACTCTGTGGTCAAAGAATGCGTGCACATAGACACTGGGAGGTACTATGCAGCAAAAGGTATGTTCGAGGACTTTACAGAGCGTTCATCATGGCTTATCTATTCGCAGTCATCAACAAGCGGCTTATGGCCGGACGGGAACATATGGTCAATAATGGCCCCCTACCACCCTCATCGAGCCTACAGCTAACAGAAGCTTTGACAGGTGCGAAATGAAATCGCAGTCTTGAAACGTGTCTCAGTAGGGCATCGCAATATCCTCACTCTAGTTGACTACTTTGAAACCATGAACAATTGTACAGCTCGACACTCCGAGAGTTGCGAGCCAGTCTGACATCGACATAGTATACCTTGTGACAGACCTTGCACTGGGCGGAGAGCTGTTCGATCGCATCTGCCGCAAGGGCTCCTACTACGAGTCTGACGCCGCCGACTTGATTCGAGCAACTCTGTCTGCAGTTGCATATCTCCACGACCACGGCATCGTGCATAGAGACTTGAAACCAGAGAATCTATTATTCAGAACACCAGAAGACAACGCCGACCTCTTGATTGCGGATTTTGGCTTGTCGAGGATTATGGACGAAGAACAATTTCATGTCTTGACCACGACATGTGGCACACCAGGATATATGGCGCCTGAGATATTCAAAAAGACAGGTCATGGAAAACCTGTGTGAGTAAAGCCCATTTTGATCCGTGCCACGACCGTCAAAGACTGATGCAGAATTTTTAGCGACATCTGGGCGATCGGTGTTATCACATACTTTCTCCTTTGCGGCTATACTCCGTTCGACCGTGACTCAAACCTGGAAGAAATGCAAGCCATACTTGCCGCCGATTACTCATTCACGCCTGTCGAGTACTGGCGCAATGTCTCCGACACTGCGAGAGACTTTATCAAACGCTGCCTCACGATCGATCCGCACGCTCGCATGACCGCACATCAAGCTCTGCAACACCCTTGGATCAAGCCCGACACCGACCCCACATCTCCCGTCAAAGGGCCCGGAGACGGTCAAGACCTTTTACCAACGGTGAAGAAGAATTTCAACGCGAGGAGAACACTCCATAAGGCCATCGACACTGTCCGTGCGATCAACAAGCTGCGAGAGGGCGGCGGACTGATGGCGGGCCACATGGACGGTGCCATGAGCGTGGACCCAAAACCCAAGCCCGAGATGGTCAATGGAAGCAAGGTCCTCAACGATCAGGGCCAGCAGATCCAAGGGGAGGAAGCGACGGGTGCGAATGCCTCACAAGGCGACGCTGATGCAATGGAAATCGATTCCAGAGGGAATGCCAGAGGCCAGACAGAGGACCAAATCCGCCGCCAGCAGCAAAAGATTAATGACACGATGTCGGGTCTGTGGGGAAATCAGCATGCAGCTCACGGCGACTAGACCATTTGGGGGGATCTATTTTGGTGTCGTCCTATAGCCCGAAGATGGCGTGTTCCTCTGAAAGTTACATGGCCTCCCAAGCGGATTGGAATGAGGCGGTCGGGTGATTTATGACGTTGACCAGGGCTGGATGATTGATTTTCCTTCCACGAATAGGTACGAAGTCGACCAAGAGGGACGCACAATATGGACGACTCCTGCGAGTCCAGGCACTAAGGATCCGGCATTCCTTCATGGCAACGGAATACCCGGTTCAATACTGGATGAATTTGACCTCATGACACAATTTCATATCAAGACTGGACAGACACTCCGGAATAAACAGCAAAGTGGCAATTGGGGGCTTTACGGGTATCAATCTCGATTCCAACGCGGATAGCTAACACTACGTAGCAGTACAGTTTCGCCCGTTGCTCTACCCCTGATCTCGACCTCACGAGATGGCAACGCATGAGATCTTAGCGTCGGTCCGTCATGAAGGTCATACCATTCCAAGGGGCCGTACGCCATGGCTCATGCAGAAGCAAAGTACGCCTTTTTGGATTCTTTCTTTGGCCGGGCAGGTCACTCTCCTTGATCCATCCCGCCAGGCGCCTGTTGTCTCCCCATCTGCCTCGCCTTCAACAACTCATCACATAACAGCAGGTTACTCGCAATTCCCTGACTGCTCGCGATACTGTTCCTCAACACGCGGAACCCGTCAAACACGCCTTCTTGCACAGGATCCATTGGCTCTCCAGTCACTAGATCTAATCCAACCACATTTCCCTCGGCAAATTCATCTTGCAGGGCGGCTAGTGCGTCCTGGATGTCGTGTCCAGAATTTGCGGCGAGTGTTTTCGGGATGATCAAAAGGGCATCTGCGAAGGCAGCAACACCCCATTTGGCTTTGCCCTTGACTGTTTTTCGCACCGCTTCTGATGAAAGGTGTGCTGCAGCGGCGATCTGGAACGACCCAGCCCCAGGAACGACACACCCGTCCACAATGGTGTTGTATACGCTTCGTAATCCGTCTCTGACTGCGTCTGTAATTTGGGTGATGCTGTGCTGGTTGGGCCCCTTAATTAGAAGTGTAACTGATTTCGGGTCTTTCACTTCCTCGACAAAGGTATATTTCTCCTCGCCCAGGGTCTGTTCATAGACCAGTCCTGCCCATCCAAGCACTGAAGGATCGAGATCATCAACACTGTTCTGCGCCTTTCCACCGCATACGAGTTGGAGGCGTTCCATGTTCCGTCTCTTTGCTCGCCTAAGCGCCAAGATGCCGTTCTTGACAAGGACGTCGAGACTCAGTGGATCGATACCCTTCTGGTTTATCACCACAAAGGACTTCTTAGGATCGGATCCACAAACTTCATTCTTTAGAGCGACAATCTTCTTGAGCTTTTCGTCAACGAAGCGACGCTCTGAAGCGACAAGTTTGTCTCTTTGTTCGGCGCTGCTGTAATAAAACCCGGAGTTGATTTCAGACTTTTCATATTCAAGAGAGACATTCAAGGTGAGAATGAAAGCGTTCTCGACTCGTTTCGGCATATCAGGATGTCGCGCGCCATGGTCTAACACTAGACCTCGAATCAAGGTGGTGTCAGAACTTAGTTTGTGTTGCAATTTCATGATTTCGATCATGTGCAAGTCGGGTTTTTGAGGAGGCCGGTGGATGGCTAATACGGCGTCAACGATAGATGGCGTCAGCTGTGCGGCAAGAGCGGCGTTGATCTTTGTGGAGAGGGAAGTTTTTGCAATCGAGAGAAGTAGATTGCGGTCGATATCACGGGTGATTTTGAAGGTGTCAAGAAACTTGAGGGTCTCTGTTTTGGCGATTTCAAAGCCGTCGGTGATGACTCTTGGATGCAGACCTTCTTGGATGTATCGGTCTGCTTGTTTTAGGAGCTCGCCTATCAGTAGCACCACAGAGGTTGTGCCGTCGCCAGTAATGTCGTCCTGCGCCGTTGCAGCGCGAGCAATCAAGGTGGCGGTGGGGTTTTGTATTGACATCTCTTTCAGCAACACCGCACCATCTTTTGTCAGCTTGATTTGACCTGACCCGTCAACCAACATTTTGATTGTGCCCGAAGGGCCCAGGTTCGACTTGAGAACATCCTGGAGGCCTTCCCCCGCGTTGATGTTGATTCGAAGTGCCTCTGCTCTCCGGCGAGATTCCGCTTTAGGGTTCAAAAGCTGCGTTGCTGTAAATGGTCAGATAGATTGTCGCCAGAAAAAGATCAGTAGACTTACCAGACATCTTGTAGTTGTTCAGATCATGGTGGTAACACTACAATCGCCCTCTTTGAACTTTCATGGCGGGATTGCATACAATTTCATGCCAAGGATTCTCGTTGATGTTGGAAGGTCTGCCGGGGAACACTTACGCCAATCATGTAGCGTGCCAAGACCAAAAACCCGCAAATCAGAGCATCCTCAGTGCAACTTCTGAAGCTGCGGAATTATTTTCTGGGAAAGTCTTAAAATTTCGAGGTGAAACTCACGCTCTCACAGCATCTGTTCCTTAGTAGACATTGATAACAGCTACAACTTTCAGACTTCTCAGAGGTGTGACTTGGGTAGCCTAGGTGGACTGTGAAGCCTGCACCTCCAATCCCCAATTACTCAGTTGCGCCATGGCCGATTTTCTCCTCCATGAAGGGCCCATGGGCTATTCCGTGTTCAAGGTCGTCCACCAGGCTGACACTGTCGGCAATCGTCTGAAGGAGGTTCAAGATAGTGTTCAAGATCTTGCACGATTTGGGAAGATGGTTGAGCTCGTCAGTTTCCTGCCATTCGAGTACGACTCTCATCATCACCCAATTATAGTGCATAGCTAACCATGCCTCAGGAGCGGAAAGCAGGCGCTTTCAGAGCTGAACGACATCTCTGAAGGCATCGCATCAGACTATCTCAAATCCTTCCTCGAACTAAACCTCCCAAAGGCTGGAAAGAAGAACAAAATTACTTTGGGTGTCTCGGACAAAATCCTTGCGGCCAGCATCAAGACAGCATTCCCCAACATCGAGTGTGAGACTGGAGACACAAGCGAAGTCGTTCAGGACATGCTTCGAGGAATCCGGCTACACTCCGAGAAGCTCCTCAAACAACTCCGCGAAGGTGACACGAATACCGCACAGCTTGGTCTAGGTCATGCGTACTCGCGTGCCAAGGTCAAGTTTTCCGTGCAGAAAAACGACAACCATATTATTCAGGCTATCGCAATACTTGACCAGCTAGATAAAGCGATCAACACCTTTTCTATGCGTGTGCGCGAATGGTATTCATGGCACTTCCCAGAGCTCATCAAGATCGTCTCAGACAACCACAAGTATGCCAAGGTAGCACTATTCGTCAAGGACAAGAATACTTTGTCCGACAGCAGCCTTCACGACCTAGCTGCAGTAGTAGATGATGACGAGGAAATCGCAAAGAGTATCATCGATGCGGCCAAAATAAGCATGGGTCAAGAAATTTCATCTTCAGATATGGAAAACGTGACCTTGTTTGCGGAACGAGTGGTCAGCCTCGCGAACTACCGAAAGACACTGCACAGCTATCTCGTCTCTAAGATGGGCGTGGTTGCGCCCAACTTGGCTGCCCTTATTGGGGAAATTGTGGGAGCCCGGTTAATTTCTCACGCTGGCAGTCTGACCAACCTGTCAAAATATCCCGCTTCTACAGTTCAGATATTGGGAGCGGAAAAGGCTCTTTTCAGGGCATTGAAAACAAAAGGAAACACGCCCAAGTATGGACTGTTATACCACTCCTCATTTATTGGAAGAGCCGGGCAGAAAAACAAAGGAAGAATATCACGATTTCTCGCAAACAAGTGCTCGATCGCCTCAAGGATTGACAACTTCTCCGAAACTCCATCTACAGTCTTTGGACAAGCACTAAAGAAACAAGTTGAGGAACGTCTAGAATTTTATTCCTCGGGGGCACAACCCACCAAGAACGAGGCAGCGATGGTAGGTTGTGACAATCTTACAACGATGGCCGCACGCTAACTTCCCACACAGAAGGATGCTATGGAAAAGGTCCTTGCAGAAATGGAAATCGAACCCCCCACTAAAACAGCCTCCGATCTAAGTGAAACAGCAGCCCAGAAGCCGGATAGCGCAAAGAAGGACAAGAAGAAGGATAAGAAGGAGAGGAAAGACAAGGCCGTAGACCCAGAAGACACTGGCAAAAAGGAGAAAAAGGATAAGAAGCGGAAAGTGACCGAGTTGGATAGTGAGGGCGGCGAGAAGAAAAAGAAGAAATCAAAATCCAGGGATTAGGAGGGAGTCCAGGAATGGTTTCTTTTTGGCAAGGTGTTGGTGGTCCTTTTATTATTATGCTTGCTATGAGGCATTGAGCTTTAGCCAGTGCAGTCCCTGGTTACTCGGTATTGATCACTCTACAGTGACGAGTGCCTTGGCATGTATGAGATACAAATAAGTTGACAATGCGGGGGGCGCTTCAAGCTCTACACCAATATCATGACTGTACCTGAGTTCATTGTTGGCTTCCTGGCTGGGACAAGTCACTTTTGAAGCCCTGTTGCGTGGCACAGCCCCTCTCCCTAATCGCTGGCAGCAATTTTGACCCATTTGTACTTTGGATCAGTTTCTTTGACCCAATAGAAAGGAGTCTATTGAGACTTTGAGGAGAGTTTAACTTCGCCGCAACATCTATTGGCCGAGGACGTTGTGTCACTGTCAACCTCTCACTCCAGTACTTACGCTTCACATGTGTCATTAGATCCATGACGTTCTATAAAGCGCAGGTGAATGAGTCGCTGAAACTTACACATTACCCATGGTGGACTGCTGGATAGATCGGCGGGAGTTGCTTTTAGTGCGCATGATCGTCTTATTTGCACTGTCCCCCGAAGTCCGTGCATGATGACCTCAACTTCCCCCAAGAGGAAGCGAGACTACCTCCACCCTCTGGATACGGAGGCGCCTGGACCTCGGCTTTTGAGTGAAAGCGACTTGGAAGACTATGACGAAGGTAGTCCACGAAGCAAAGTCGCGCGGAAGTTGGATGACCTCGAAATCCACAGTCGTCAGAATCAGGAAAATCACGACACCAGCGAGAGGCAGCACAGACTCCTCACGATTCCTGTAATATCATCGACTGGAGCACCTGACCACGATGGGGACATTGCGACGCCAGAGAACAAGCAAATATCAAAAAATCTGACAGAAGCTGATCCCACACCTACTACCGACCCAACAAAGAGACCAGGAAATCTATCCCGCTCCAAGTCTCCGCCCATGGCAACTGGCTTGTCTCATGGATTTTGGCAAGATTCTGAGATCACTGGTCATGATCCCGACGACCCGAGTGACGACGGATATGGGATAAACGGCATTGGTTTCAAACCAACAGCAGCAGTGGCATGGTCAAGATCGCAGCGGCGGAAACAGCAACTGTCCGACTACAAGAATCGCGAAGCGCGAGAAGCGAGACAACAGAGAAGTGAGAGGAGAAAACGTGGTCTCGACGAAGACGAAAACTCATTAACCATCGAGTCCTCGCCTCGTAAGACCGCCCGTGTTCATTTCCACGACGGCTGAGATCAGCCAAACCTGAGAGAGGGCCAATTTTTCCTCCACACCCTCGGACCTAAGACAACCATCATTGAAGTACCATATCGTACACGCATGGAGCCTGGCAAGGACTCCTTTCCACCGTCAGGCAGTGAACGCCGCGCGCCACGAACTGTTCATCCTTAAGACAGCAATACCTTTACCAGAATTTGTACCAGTGAGCTCTCCGTTTCCGTTCCTGCTCCTCAATGTCTGCGGCTGCGGCTGTGGCTACCCGCGCAGCTTCCTCAGCCGCCTTCTCCCGGGCTTTTTTCTCATGAAGCATCTTCATGCCCTGAACAGCCATTGCCATGCCTCTAGCTTCCTCGCGTCGTCTTTGGTCGCACCAGTAGTACATTCCGGAGGCCGAGAGTGCAAATCCAGTGACTGCCAGGTTGGTGGTAATCAACATAGAAGAGAGCCCTAGAAACAAGTCAGACTCAAAGGCTCAAGATTCAAGGAAGGGTGACTCGAGGACCTCTCAATATAAATCTAACACCTCCGACTGCCCCCCCAGAAGCTATTCCGACAAGCAGTGCATCTCTTGCGCAAGGTACTTGGTACCATGAAGGGCCTTTTCCTTCGTACGAGAAGTTGAAGGCATCCCTCCAAGTCACCTCGGGAGGTTTACCGCCTGCTGAGTTGTACGTTCCTCCAGGCAAGGCATTTGCGGGCTCCGCAGGATTCCCAAGCATTTCCCACATCTTCCCAGCTTGGGTTTTTGGGAAGTCATGCTTGGGCTTCGGTCGTGTGAAAGGACGGGCATCTGACTGAGGCTTTTCATCAGCAGGTGAAGTGTCAGGCTGCCGCGTATCATCCGCCATTGGGAAAGATCGATGTAGTGACTGAACGATGATCGAGAAAAGCTGCGGAGAAAGACGATCCATGTGGAGAAAATGAACTGTCGTTTCGCGAACCAACGATCCGCCCTACGCGACCGCGCCACGCGCTTTAATTGAGACGCGTCCAGCAATCAAGTTTCCTCGGGACACATCTTAGCATACGACTACAGATAGATCACCTGTGTTCTGCGTGCTGCGAACCATACCGAAGGGTATCTAACATGACTTTGTATCTTATGTGACACAGTTCACGAGGATAAGTCGGTCTTTCTTCTCGAACCTCCGTCGACAATGCCCGTCCGAAAACCGTCTCGATATGGCTCGAACGTGAGACTCGGGAAGGACTCTCTTCGCGGGCGGCGAACGAAGACGATCGATGCCTCCACCCTGCGCACCACCGAGGGAACCTCCCAGGATGAGAAACTTCAAGCCACGCGGCTGGCAAACAGCATCGACGAAGCCATGGGCTTCCCGAGGTATGACTCGGGAAAGAGAAAAGTAGGATGGCTCTACAACATGCACAGTACCTCGATTGAAGACCCGAGAGTACCGGGTGGCCGCGCTGGAGTTGACTTCTATTTCATTGGAGAAGACGGTGACAACTTCAAGGCGACGGTTGATTATGACCCGTACTTCTTGCTGGCTGTGAAACGCGGCCGAGAAGCCGACGTCGAGGAGTGGTGCAAGAGAATGTTTGAAGGTCTTGTTAAATCGGTCAATCGCGTTACCAAGGAAGATCTCCAAATGCCCAACCACCTACTTGGATACAAGCGAACATTTCTCCAGCTGACATTCGCGAACGTCTCGGACCTGCTCGCTGTTCGCAAGACACTCTTGCCCATTGCGGAAAGGAATAAAGAGAAAGTGAATGCGATGGATACGTACGCGGAGGTCGCCAGTGCGGCAGCGGGCTTCGATGTGTACGACGACGACCAAGTAACCGACGCTCGCCCCAATGGAATCGCCGATGCTAGTGACTACATTGTGGACATTCGGGAATATGACGTTCCATACCACGTTCGCGTTACCATCGACAAGGATATCAGAATTGGCAAATGGTACATCGTTGAGTCCACCCACGGCTCAATCTCCCTGACGTGCTTGGAAGAGCGTTTGCAGCGAGCTGATCCCGTTGTCCTCGCATTCGATATCGAAACGACAAAACTACCTTTAAAGTTTCCTGATCAAGTCATCGATCAAATTATGATGATTTCATACATGATCGATGGGCAAGGCTTTCTCATCACCAACAGAGAAATCGTGTCGGAAGATATTGCCGATTTTGACTACACCCCAAAGGTGGAATACGAAGGGCCGTTTCTGATATTTAACGAGCCAAATGAACGCGCGTGCATTGAACGGTTCTTCTCTCATATCAAGGCAGCTCGACCTACTGTTATTGCGACATACAACGGAGACTTCTTCGACTGGCCCTTTGTCGAAGCTAGGGCTGGGGTGAACGGCATCGACATGTATGCTGAAATCGGATTTCGCAGGAACAGTGAAGATATCTACCAGAGCAACTACTGCGTCCACATGGACTGCTTTGCTTGGGTCAACAGAGATAGTTACCTGCCTCAAGGCAGCCGTGGTCTGAAAGCTGTCACGGTAGCAAAGCTAGGCTACGATCCTGATGAGCTCGATCCTGAACTTATGACCCCCTACGCCAACGACCATCCTCAAATTCTTGCAGAATATTCCGTTTCTGACGCTGTTGCAACATATTATCTTTACATGAAGTACATCCACCCTTTTATCTTTTCACTCTGCACAATTCTTCCGCTCAATCCCGACGATACACTACGGAAAGGAACAGGCACTTTATGCGAGATGTTATTGATGGTCCAGGCCTATCAGAAAAACATTGTCCTGCCCAACAAGCACAAAGAACCGAGGGAAGCTTTCTGGGAGGGGCATCTACTCGAGTCTGAGACGTACGTTGGCGGGCATGTTGAGAGCATTGAGGCCGGCGTCTTCCGTGCGGACATCCCTGTCAACTTTGCCATCGACACGACAGCGATTGATGAACTCTTAAACGATCTTGATGCAGCTTTGAAATTCTGCATTACGGTCGAAGAGAAGAAATCATTGGACGATGTTACGAATTATGAAGAAATCCGAGCACAGATTGTTGAAAAATTGGAAGATCTGAAGAATATACCCAACAGGAATGAACGGCCTCTGATATACCATCTGGATGTTGCGTCCATGTATCCCAACATTATGACTACTAATCGTCTTCAACCTGATTCCATGATTGCCGAATCAGATTGTGCCGCCTGCGACTTCAATCGACCTGGGAAGACATGTGATCGCCGATTGCCTTGGGCATGGAGAGGCGAGTTCCTGCCTACCAAGAGAGACGAATACAACATGATACGCCGAGCAGTGGCAAATGAGACATTTCCTGGGAGAGGGCCCAAAGCACCGAGACGAACATTCCAAGAATTGAGCTTGGACGAGCAAGCTGCAATGGTGCGGAAAAGACTTCAAGAATATTCCAAAAAGATCTACCACAAGATCCACGATTCGAAAACCATCGAACGAGAGGCCATCATCTGCCAAAGAGAGAATCCTTTCTACGTCGACACCGTCCGTGACTTTCGAGACCGGCGGTACGACTTCAAGGGAAAACAGAAGGTTTGGAAGGGTAAGATAGAAGCACTCAAGTCTTCCGCAGCATCTGCTCAGGAGATCGAAGAGGCCAAAAAGATGATTGTCCTCTACGACTCTTTGCAACTTGCTCACAAGGTCATTCTCAACTCTTTTTACGGATACGTCATGCGCAAAGGATCCAGATGGTACTCTATGGAAATGGCGGGCGTCACTTGTCTCACTGGGGCGCATATTATCCAGATGGCGCGAGAACTTGTGGAACGAATCGGTCGGCCGTTGGAATTAGACACCGATGGGATTTGGTGTATGCTTCCAGCGACGTTCCCGGAGAATGTCGTGTTCACGTTGAAAAATGGCAAGAAGATGGCAATTTCTTATCCTTGCGTGATGCTCAACCATCTGGTTCACGCACGGTTTACAAATCACCAGTACCAGAGTCTGGTGGACCCGGCTACATTCAAGTATGAGACACACAGCGATAATTCAATCTTCTTTGAGGTTGATGGTCCTTACAAGGCCATGATCCTCCCAACCTCAAAGGAGGAAGACAAGAACCTGAAGAAACGCTACGCGGTGTTCAATCATGACGGGAGTCTTGCCGAGTTGAAAGGGTTTGAGGTTAAGCGAAGAGGCGAGCTGAAGCTCATCAAAATTTTCCAGACTCAAATTTTCAAGTTTTTCCTGGAAGGCAGCACGTTGGCGGAAACATACGGAGCAGTGGCTCGTGTGGCCAACCGCTGGCTTGACGTCCTACATTCACACGGGTCCACGCTTGCTGATGAAGAGCTCATTGATCTGATTTGCGAAAACAAAAGCATGACCAAGACTCTCGAAGAGTATGGAAGTCAGAAATCAACTTCAATCACAACAGCAAAACGATTGGCGGAATTTCTGGGAGACCAGATGATCAAGGACAAAGGTCTGAACTGCAAGTATATCATCTCGGCCAAACCCAGGAACACACCCGTTACAGAACGCGCCATTCCTGTCGCGATCTTTTCGGCGGACGATAGCGTTAAACGCTTCTTCTTGCGAAAGTGGCTGAAGGAGGATCCAGCGGAAATGGATCCCAGAGCTGTAATAGACTGGGACTACTACCTGGAGCGCCTCGGCTCTGTCATACAGAAGCTCATCACAATACCTGCTGCTTTGCAGAAGATCAGGAACCCTGTGCCACGTGTGGTGCATCCCGACTGGTTACAAAAGCGCATTACTGCAAAGGACGACAGGTTTAAACAGAAAAAGATGACCGATCTCCTCGAGAAAAGACCCCTTACCGAGCGCTCTGTGAATCTTTTGGATCATCGACTTCCTGCCGGTGGAGACATCGAAGACGTCCTCAGCAATCAATTCAAACCCTCTGAGGAAGTTACCAAATCCACAAAACGAAAAGCCCCGGAATCAACAAGTCGTGGTCTTGTTGATTCCCTTCCAGCTCTCCCTTCTGAAGCTCCTTTGATTGACGAAGACTATCGAGGCTGGCTCCAGTATCAGAAGAACAAGTGGAGGTCGCAAAAGCAAGCCAAGGCGCGTCGGCGTCAATTGTTCGGGGAAAGACCCAATGTTGCTACAGATTCAATCAGTAGCTTCTTCCGCAACCAGGCCGAAATGATGTATACCAATACCTGGCACGTTCTACAGTTACGTCAAGGAGATTTGCCTGGAGAAGTGACAGCGTTTGTTGTCATTGGCAAGAAGATCCACACACTGAATATCAAAGTCCCCCGCACCCTGTATCTGAATCTCAAGGGAGAAGAGCTTCCAAACGTGGACATACCCGGCTGCGATGTTGAAAAGGTCAGCCATGTGTTGCCGAACGGCCATCCATCGGTTCATTTGTTTCAGTTAACCATGCCCGAGGAGACCTACCTGCGAGAAGCGGAGTCAGTATCGTTATTGTGCAACCATCCCAGTGTTGAAGGTGTCTATGAACGTCAGTTTCCGCTATTTATGCGCGCCCTACTGAAACTAGGGAATATGTGCTCCTTCGATGAAACTCAGAAAGGTGTTCTCGGAAAGGGCCTTGAACAAGGGTTTGATTTAGCATCACTTCTCAGGAGTGATGGCCAGTCGACGTACCTAGAAGAACCCAACTCCTTAGGGTATATCTACTTGTATCATGTCTCTGCTGGCGATAGGAATGTCTTTGCTCTGTTCTCGACCACCAAATCAGAAGCACATATCATCCTCATGAGTCGAACGCGGGACACCCAAATACCAAATGCTGACAAGATATACACTGAACAATATCGTCAGAAAGTTCAGGACGAGGCTAATGTGCAGGCTCTCTTCGAATATCAACCCAGCATAAGTTTTAAGGTGTCACAAGTGACGACAAAGAGGAAAGCACATCTTGAGCTTGCGGATATTCTGAAGAAGTGGCGCGCAGACGAGGTGAAACCGGCGGTACTCCTCCTTCAGACAACCACGCATAAGTCCTTGATCCATGACGTCCGATTCCTCAGGGAATATCCTGTTATTTTCCTGCCAGCAGATCAATCTGACATGGATCTCCCTTCCTTAGCTTGGCAGGGTCATGCGATCAAGCAGGTCGTCTCCCACTATTTCAATGTTTCCGGCTGGTTGGTACATCTGATTGAGCTTGCTCGATACGGAGATGTACCTCTCTGCAATCTTGAAAAGGACGACCCTCGATTCCTCATTGATCTGGCGTATGCACGAAGGTTAAAGCGGAGCAACGTCGTTCTATGGTGGTCTGACCAAGCTCGCCCGGACCATGGTGGACACGAACGTGATGACATTCTGGGCCCACTCAACGAAATCGTTGAGATGCCCTCGATCAACAACGCAGGTGCCTACACTTCTGTCTGCGTGGACGTAACGGTGCAGAATCTGGCGATCAACACCATATTGACCTCGTCTATAATCAACGACCATGAGGGCTCTACAGAAGCAGTCGCCTTTAACCCGACCGGCGACGAAGAAAATTCCCTCAACTCCAACATGGCGAGGTCGAACGGAGGGTTTGCGCAGGCAGCGCTGGAAGTCCTCCGCGAGATGGTCAAGTCATGGTGGGCGGAAGCTTGTCGTGGTCATCGACTCGCAGACGTAATGGTTCAGCATTTAGTCCGATGGGTTGAGGCTCCGGCTTCGTGCCTTTACGATCGACACCTCCATTACTATGTGCAAATGATGTCGAAGAAAGCGCTGCAACAACTCATCACTGATTTCCGCCGAGTAGGCTCACAGGTTGTTTTTGCGAGCCCAACACGACTACTTCTGCAAACGTCGAAGCAAGACGTTGAAAATGCCTATGCGTATTCTCAGTATATTCTCAAATCGATTCAACAGAAGCCTCTCTTCCATTTCCTCGGACTTGAGGTCAAAGACTACTGGGACATCCTGCTTTGGTATGACGCGTACAACTATGGCGGTAAAGGCACTTCCACGGTCACAGAGAATACCAATCACTCCAGTCTCGAGACTGTCGTGCACTGGCAACTTTCACAGTTCTTACCACTTCCATTGCAGCCCATTTTTGACGACTGGGTGATCATCTTTATCGAATTGATGCAGAATTTGAAAAGACCACAGATATCATCTGAGAGCACACCATCCACTGTTCGATCCACTCAACTACCTTCTCAGTTTATCAGTTTGACAGAGGACCCGACCAGCACCGAGATTACATCTGTCCTGCAAGATCCGTTCTCCAAGCCCTTGAAGAAGCAAATCACAGGCTTAATTCGACGTCAACGGGAGGAGTTGTTACACCCCGAACTGGCCAGCGACTGGACATTCCCATCTTTGCCAGGAGGGACTCTAGAATCCAGTGATGTGCGCAATCCACATGATCCAGTCCTTGAATTAGTGAAATCGCTCATGCAAATAATCTCGTTGTCGAAGCCCCTTCAACTTGAAGCACGACTTCTCCGCAAAGAGCTCCTGGCCCTGTTCGATGTCCGGGAGTTTGGGAAGGAGGCCCGATTCGAAAACCCCAGTGCGAGTTTACGCTTCGAGAATCTCGTCTGCGACACATGTACCATGACTAGGGATTTGGATTTGTGCCGTGACGAGGATATTCTACCAGATGTGAACGAAGATGGAGTGCTGGCAAATAGTAAACCTTGGATTTGCAACAGCTGTGGGACAGAGTACAACAAAATCATGCTGGAGGAGAAACTCATCGCGAGAGTTCAGTCAATGGTGTTGACTTGGCAGGCACAAGATATCAAATGCAAGAAATGCAGTGGTTTGCAGGGCGACGACGGTGTATTTGCAGATCATTGTTCATGTGGCGGAGAATGGATTGCAACAGCAGATCTGAGAGACATGAAGGGGAGGCTGAAGGTCATGGAACGGGTAGCGGGCATGTATGGGTTGAGGATGCTAACGGCCGTTGTTGAAGAGGTCAAGACTATGTGTACGATTTGATGAGTACATGGGATATGAAGGACAAATTACGTGCATTGTTTGCTGGTTGGGAGAAACCTTTGCTAGCATGGCGTTGAAAGAGGTCTCTGGTTACTCACTGGGACGTTGCGAACACAGTAGCCGAAGATGCAGTACAGGCTTGTCGTGAACAAACCTGGGGGTGTTTGGGCAATACCCCAGCATGCCATGCACGTCAACAACCACTCATTCAATGTGGTGTCATGGCGGAAAACTTTCAGTGTAAGTCCATAGATATACAGAATGCTTGCATTGTGCACAGAACTGCAAGCAATTAGTTTCACTTGGTCTCTTGCAATTGCTCCACAGCAAGACATTGTCCGTCCCACACATATACCTAGCTCGTAGGTATATGTGCACGCCCCAATCCATATTCTCACGGAGACTGACAAGGCTGTCCTCACGTGGCTGCATCCAGGAATGACAACTTTGCCGAGGCCGATTGCGAGGCTGAGAGCACGAGGCTCGACCGCCAAGTTTGAATGCTTTCGGAGCAGGAGGGGCCTTTCCAACTGTTCGGTATAACTTCCCTCACCGATGTGCTAGATAGTCGACTCAACGACTCAACGCGTGCTGCTTCTTTCTTTTTCTTTCGTTGTCAGGACATTTTGACGTCCCGATCTTCCATACTATCACCTTGCTGAACGTTGAGCGGCATGGACTATTTCGCAATGCAGATGAAGTGACCATTACTTACCCAGAGAGTCTCTCCCTCTTCCATTATTCTTGGTGCAGACTCAGTCGAGAGGACACGAATCATTTGACGCGGACACTTCTTCTCGATCTGTCGCCCTCTTTCTTCACATCTCTGTCGATCTCATCTGCCTCAATATGGACCCCGCCGCTCAGAATCGGCCCACGCAGCCTGCACCGCAACAGCAGGCGTCCTTGATCCGTCCCGAGCAAGTCCAGAGACTACCCCAGCTCAACCCGACCCAGAAACAGCAGTTTGAACAAGGCGTGAGGAGGTTCTGGGAAATCTTGAACACCACTCCACAGACGGATCCCAAATACAATGAAGCATACACCAACCTTGTCAAGACTTCGAGCCAACTCATGGCCGGGATGAAACAATGGCAACAACGAAAACAGATGGCCCAACAAAACGCAGCACAACAGCAAGCCTCGGCACAGACTCAGACACAGACACAGGCGCAACCGCAATCGCAGCCGCAACCTCAACCGCAAGGGCAGGTACCGAAAGTCGCCGGCCAACCTGGTCAAGCACAAGCCGGCGCTGGATCTGGTCAGAGCGGAAGTAGCGCAGTACAGTTCGGTCAACTCCTCCCTGAAATTCAACGTAAAGTCAACGAGCAACACTTCTATTACCCTCCAGCAATGACCAAAGGCACCGAGCCTGCTGAACTGTGGTTGCGCGAGGCAAAGGCGAGGCTGGGTCAGGCTTTGCAGAGACTTCAAGTCGCCAAGCAGAAAAGAGCCGAGTTCCAGCGTCAGGCCCAGCAGCGACAGGCAGCAGGGAACCCGTTGACTGCCGCGGAAACGGAGGTTTACAACAACAAGATTTCACAGTGTGACCGGGCAATCAACGAAAGTACCTCATTCATGAAGAAGTTCAACGAACAGCAGGAACAATTTCGAGCCGCGCAACCTCAACACCAATTCTCAAAACAAGCCGTTCCCACTAGTGAAGGAGCAGAAACCACTGCCGCACCTCTGATGCAGCCAGGCGTTCAAGGGCCAACTGCCCACTCCATTAGTAGTGCTGTTTCCGCCGCGCGTAACCAAGCGAACTCCTCACTAGCTCAAGCAGGCAGTCCAACATCATCCGTTCCTCAAGTTGGTCCCAACGCTGGCGTCGGCACTTCTCATACTCCCGTTACAGGAACGCAGGCGCAGTTGCCCCAAGCCGTTCAAGGAGACACATCTGCAGGCCCTCGCCCACCTTCCCATCAAGGTCAAACGATGCCTCCTTTGCAACACTCTGCCTCCGCTGGCGTCCATCCTCACCCGCTAAATACCAGCATCAACGGCATCAAGACTGCAACACCAAATATCACCAAGAATTTACAGGTTCCCGAGCCCAAACCCGTCACCATGCCTCCGTCAAGACCAACCTTGACCGGCGGTGCTGGGGTCGGATTGCCTGGACAACTGGCGCAGCCTGCCATCACCGCGTTGCCTGGATACGTGCTGGAATCGAGCGAAGATGGGAGAGTTCTGTCCAAGAAGAAATTGAATGAATTGGTGCGCGAGGTTTGCGGCGCTGGCTCGGAGGAGCAGCTCGAACCTGAAGCCGAAGAGGTAAGCTTGCGCCTGTTTCGAAGCAGCTAGTTTTGTGTTGACTATTTTCAGTTGTTCCTCTCAATTGCCGATGACTTTGTCGACGACCTTGTCACAGCAGCGTGCAAGCTTGCAAAGCTCCGCGGGTCGTCAAGCCTCGAACTTCGCGATATTCAAATCATTCTCGAGCGTCAATACAACATTCGTGTGCCAGGATATTCCACCGACGAGATTCGTACCGTACGACGACCACAACCTGCACCAGGCTGGGCACACAAGATGAGTGCAGTTCAGGCAGCCAAACTTACGGGAGGCGCAAACAGCGCTGCTGCAACTGGCACCAACGGAAAGGAGAACTAAGCATGTCTACTCTAGGACAAGCATGGCGTTACGATTCATGACAATGTTGCCGGCGTTCGAGAGCAGGGTGGTACGACGTGAGCCAATGTGCTCAGGCACAATGTACACATGGAACCATGGGGGCGGCATGCCTTTTGTACTCGGTACAGTCGGGAAGGGCTGGAAGAACAGGCGTCCTGGAGATATGGCGACTCGCTGTCATTGAGACATTATCGGACGTGAGATACCACGTGGAGCTGGAGGTGCAGAGCAAAGGTCTTCATGAGGATGGGTCCCACGGTCCTAAGCTAGCCTCCAAAAGTTTGCGGCTTATCAGTACTCTGTATTGGACATGTTGGCCTTCAAAGGCTGACTACCTAGATACCGAGTTACATTGCTGAAGGAATTATCAATCGTACCAAAGTGGAACGTACCCAAGGCCTCGGCGAGTACACAGACGCCACCTTGAAGCTCTACAAAGTACCTAGCAGATGAAATGAGTCTCAAAGTGCTGCCCAAAACTGGGTCTCTGCGCACCAAGGCCATGGGAGGCTGGGGGTGCTTGTTGCCTTGCCTACTGGTAGTAATAAAGTGTACCTAAAGTGCCTAACTAAGGAAGTATTAGTGGTTGTTGGTGGTGGGTGGTGCCCAATAGCCCAATAAACAACAGACAGTGTGGCGACGTCATCAGCAGCCCAACTCACTGCCACCCTTAATTCCCTTCCTCTCTGGTGCCTCTTCAACCCACTGTGCCCCCCAATCAATTCGTACTGAAGTAGTGTGATCGTCACAATCCTGCGGCGACTCCTCTGTAAAGACTCTTCATATTGATTGTTGTCCGCTTCTTGAGAGGAAATTTTCCTTTCATTTGCTCAGCCATCTCGCCCGGGAGGAATTGAGTGTCGGCGGTCTCTGACCCTCTTGTTCGTTAGCCTCATCCTCCTCAATCGCCCGTCTAGGATTACTACCCGAAAATCCCCTTTCAATCAGGGACATTCACGCCGCAGCTATGTCTAGGTATCGCAGTGATCCTCGCTACTCTGAGGGCAATCTCCCGTATCGTGACCCTGCTCCCCAGAGATGGGATGCCGAGCGGTTTGTGCGTGAACGAGAAGTGCGCGCTCCGGCTCCACCGGTCCTTGATCAACGTCCTCCATACGCCGACTACCCACCCCGCCGTGCTCCAGTCTACGAGGACCAGAGATATTATGAGGAAGACCGCTATGGTCCTCGCGGTGCCAGCGAACGCAAGTACTTTGAGGAGACCGACTACTATGATCCACGAGCGCAACGAGGTCAGATCGTGCCGTACGCTCCTGAACGACCAGCCAGACCTGATCCAATCCCACGACCGGGCATCATCCGCCGTCAGTCGAGCCTGGACACATTCGACCGCAGGCCAGCCAGACGCTTGGACGACTACGACGATGGCCATCGACCGCAACGGGGGCTCCCCCCACGAGAACTGATCCAAGTTCGGCCCCCTTCGCCCAGACGGTATCCTCATTACGATGAAAAGTTCTACGAGGACATCCGCGTGCAAGACCCCGACTACTACGGTGATGATGGCTTCAGGGAATATCGGGAACGCGAATGGGTCAAACGAAGAAGTAGAAACAGCAGCCCTTCTCCGGGGCCCCGTATTTTGAGGGAAGAAGAAATCATTGAAGAACGCAAGGAGGAGATAATTGAGGAGAAGCCATATCCACGACGAGGCAAGACACGTATGCCAAAAAGACTCGTCCACACTAAAGTGTTGTTTGATCTGGGCTACCCATACTATGAAGAGGTGAGAATGTCTGATTGCCCAGATCAGCATAACAAAACTGACTGTCTGCAGGATGACCGAACCATCATCATTGAGAAGGCGTTAGGTCCCGACAATATCGATGAGATTTTCACGAAGAGCAAGGAATATCGTGAGAGAGAAGGTAAGCTTTTCCCAGTGTCACTTCTCTGTGAACCAGGTATCTGAGAGTTGCAGTAACAACGACTCGGCTCATTGAAGCCCCGCCCAGTATAGCCCCCAGTATTCGCGCACCTAGCGTGCATGGAGGCGAAGTGATCATTGAAAAGACTGAGAAAAGGGAGGAGATCAAGACTGTGCCACTTGCAGACGCACCCCGCTCCGTGCGCGATTGGGATGGCCTTTCCGTCCGGTCTCCGTCCCCCACAAAGTCTCATCGATCACGGTCACGAAGACGGTCGCGCCGTGGATCTTCGCCTGAAGTCTTCAAGGAGACGGTTGTGGAGAAGAAGGAAGTGATAAAGGAAGTCTCTCCGGCACGAACACACCGATCTCACACCACGCACCGCCGAGGTTCGTCTGTCAGCGATGAGACGATCATCGAGCGAAGAATCACTCGAGAAGAAGTCGAAGATTCCAATTCGGTTCATGTCGGGCCGCTTGCACTGGTGGTCGATCGTAAGCCACACCGCAGTGAGCGAGATATCAAGGAAGAAATCCGCAGGCTGGAGGCTGAAAGGCGAGAATTGAGGCGCGAGAGGCGGTACGAGCGCGAAAGTGGAGAAATCATCAAGATCGAACGAGCCCGTGAAAGATCTCCATCGCCTCGAGGAGAGGTCATCATTGAAAGAAGGGGCGACGAGGTTCTCGAAGTCAAGAAGGATCGGCGAGGTAGGATGTCGTTGATTGTCAAATGAACAAAGTTTTCCTGATTGACCGGCGTTGGACAGGTCGCTCACGCTCGGCTGCCCCAAGCCCGGCAATCATCAAGGCCATGATGGCCACTCTGACCTGAAAAGCACTTCAGGGAAGCGCATACAATTTGGTGTTGGTGAACAGCCCCCTTCTGAAGAAACTCCAGGAAGGGGACGGGGTACCATTTACATTATCTGCGCCGATGCTTATACTGGGTTTGGTATGATCGATCTATGACAAGTTTCGAAGCAACTCTGCAAAGTATACGGAATGAGCATGAGGGTTTGGAGAACGACGGCTGGTATGATACACAGCTATGAACGAATCTCATATGTCAAGTTGTTGGACTGTGGATGGAGGATTCAAATTCTGAAATTTGGAGATAGACAGAGTTGGATGACTACGTTACATACCTACAGTTTTCAATCTCATCTTATTACCACCATTTCAGATGCCTTTGGATGGCAAAGAGATTGAATTTCGTGGGACTGTTTCAGGCTCTCTAGGGGTCATATCCATCCATGTACGGGGTACCTATGTGTAGAGAGGACCAAACAAGCTTGTGGGTTGCCGTAGTGAGGCGCACATGTGAGCAGGATTGACCCCCACACGACCCCCGGCGCCCGTCTGGCCGATGTCAGACTGCATCTCATCCGCCTTGTCTCCCTGATAATCCAACAGACAAATTGCCTGCATTGCCCATTAACCACTGCCCTCCATCCATTACCCTTGGTTTCTCTGAGCTACAGTACAGACCTCTCTTGGATCCGTCGTCTCCCGTTGTCGCTGTGGTCTTGAGCAAGTTGTTGCAACCATGGACAAGTTCTCTGCCTTTGGCAAGAATATCAGGTGCGCCCCCCTAATCCCATGTATCCTCGATCAAATAACCCATCCTCGAATTCCCACTGATTGAATGGGTGCTATTAGTACGGCATTCAATTCGACAGTTACTCCGTCCTGGCAACGAAGTCAACAGTATCTCAAGGAGCAATTTGGAAATGCTGAAGATAAGGTCCGCATCATCAACAATACTCGATGGCTTAGCGACCTCCGCTGACGAAGAGATTCTCAGACACAACTGCCGGCGGACTACATCGAGCTTGAGAAACGAGTCGATGCTTTGAAGCAAGTCCATCAGAAGCTCCTTGATGTCACGTACGACTCCCATGATTTACGCCGAGATGTTCCATTGACAACCGTCTAGCAAGCAATACCAGAATGAAGCCTACGACTACCCTCCCAATATCCGCGAATCCTTCGGTGATCTTGGTCGCAGCATCTCGGAGAAAGTGACGCTGCTCTCCAAAGCCCACAACGCATCCGAAGCAGCAACCGCCTTTACTGCTCCCCCTTCGGCAAAGCCTCAACCCAAGACATTCAATCATGCCATTGCCCGCGCCTCGCTCGCAAGCTCCCAGCTCATCAAACAGTCCAACACCTCGGGGACCGGCGAAGACCCACTTGCAAATGCTTTGGAGAAATACGCGCTTGCGGAAGAGAAAGTGGGCGAAGCTCGGTTGGCACAGGATCAGGCCATCCAGTCGCGATTTCTTGCTGGATGGAGCACCACGCTGAACACAAACATTCAATTCGCGACCAAGGCAAGGAAGGCGGTCGAGAACAGTCGTTTGCTGTTGGACAGCACCAAGGCGGCCAAGAAAGGTCAGATTCAGGGTCGCGGCATGAATCCGGATGATGAGACCGCCCTGAGCGAGGATGCTCGTGCGGAGATAGAGGCCAAGGAAGACGAGTTTGTCTCGCAGGTCGAGGAAGCCCAGGGGGTAATGAAGAATGTGAGTCTATCCCATGTATATGACGCCCCGACACCTCGACGAAACTAACCTTTGTAGGTGCTCGATACCCCCGAACCACTCCGCAACCTGGCGGACCTGATTGCTGCGCAACTAGAGTACCACAAAAAGGCGTATGAAATTCTGTCTGAATTGGCCCCAGAGATCGATCAGCTCCAGGTTGAGCAGGAGAGCAACTATCGCAAGAGCAGAGAGGGTGCTTGATCTGATCTCAGAGCCTCTCGCTGATGGGCTTTGTACTTTGTTCCGGTTGCTATTGCGGTGTCTGCAATGGGATGATTGGGGTGGAGGAAACATCGTCCAACTTAAATCCGCATACCAAATGTCATTTGTTGCTGTTGTAACTCGTAAATATTGGTGTTAGACTAGTCTGTTGCTCTCTCGCGGTGACCTGCGCCGATGTGTCAAGGTCTGCCGAAGATTTCCCGCTGGTGACACAACTTGACAACTTGCGGCGTCTCGCATCGAAGCTTCTGACCTGGTTCGAAATGCGGCCTTCGTCTTGCTTTGCTCCACGAATATTAACGACTGCATACGATACAGAGCTGCCTGCCTCCTCAAACAACGGGTCCCATATCCCTCCAGAGACTGGCGCCCTTTCCACAGAACCCCTCTCGACCCTGCACAGTTGACGTGGGCGGTATCCGACGCACTTCGCGAATTGCAGCCCCCGTCTTCACTCTGATCCCTCGAGGACTTGACCCAAGGAATTAAGGACACATACATAAGATGGCAAACGGGTACGTCCACATCATACATGCAAGGAGCCTCTGGGCGCAACATCTCGTCTTCGCAACCTCGATCCTTCGACACATCCCTCCTGGTAATGGATGCACGGGAGATGATAACCACTGGGCATGAGGACAAGAGAAGCTGAGCCTTACAACACAAGGAGGCTACAGCTCAGGGATATGTGGGATTCATCGAGAAGGCTCTGGCTCCTACATCTAGAGTGCGGCGGCGTGAAACCTGTTGTTTTGTCAGAGCGAGATGACCTTCTGACTGCCTGCAACCCTGTTCACCGTGGTCATTCTGAAAAGGAGACCTCCTCAACCCTCGTGTCCTCTTTCCTCATGTTCCGCCACACATCTCGACTTCTCCTTGCTCTAGTAGCTTCTCCAATTGGACTTCCCGGTGGCGTAAAGAATGAAGTCAGTCTCGAGCTGACCTATGGTCTCTTCTGGCAGGTGGTCTATCCTCATCGGTCTGATCGTCATCGTCGTCCTCAGCGTCGCGGCATGGTTCCTGAGCCCAAAGGGCGAAAATCAAACGTATGTATTCAATTTCTTTACATGGATCAACTCACACCGCTATGTCGGTATCGAGTATGACTTACGTCACGAAGCCAATCACTCCTTGAGTTGTTCAGAATGCTTGCCCTCGAGTTCGAAGCTGGTTGATCGTCAAATACTGACTTTCTGTTCTCTAGGATATGGAGAAGCACCCTCATTCTGAGCTTTGCAAGTTGTTATATCATGTGGGGTACGTACGATGGGTGTTCTTCCGTGCACTACTCCTGATCATCGCTCCTTGTTCTACTTTCCCCCACCAATACCATGACCTGGAACCCCCGGGTCTCTACGAGTCTGCCTGGTGTTGACAACTCCATGTTCTTTGGCCAACACCTCTTCTCATGATGCGCTCCGCTGACTGCCTGTGGCGATGCAGCAATTACCTTCTTCGCGCAATGGCATCCCTTGATCGAGCCGCGGATGGCTAAGTTGAGGCATGGATATGCTGGGGGGAGTTGAGCAGAATTGCGCTTCAAGGGGGGATTTCTTCGCTTTGAGGACGAATAGATTTGTACCTGTCTCGAAAAACAGCATAAGAAACGGAAAGATCAAACCCTAACGGGATGAATGTTTGCACGTTCGTGGTTTTTGCGGTGAATGAAAGTCCCATGTATAAGATACTATCTTCGTGTGCCCCAGACGGGTTACCATGAGCCGCACATGCTATAGACAGTGCAACTTGGATTGGGCACCCAAGGCTCCCTGGGCATCAAAACAAGACCTTGCCACCAGGTTGTCTAGCACGTAATAAGAATTCAGAGAAGCACAATCGGACATTCGACCCATGATACGCCCAATGTAGTCAGGAAGACGCTCGTGGTATTACAACAGCTATGTACAATACAAACAATGTGTCCTACCAGAAAGGTATTCTTGAACGCGGCCCCGAGAAGCAAGAAGAGCAAAACCCCGGTCTCGTACCGTGCACTCCGGCGAAAGATACTGTGCAACAACATAGCGGCATTGCTCCGTCCTCGAATATCTAGCATGCCACGGCATTTCGTTTACCCGCGAGTCAATGATGGTCGCCCTGGCTGGAACAAGGACCAACGAGTTGCCTGGCCTGAACGTTGGACTACCGTTGATGTTGCAGACTCGGCTCTCCAGCGTAGTGCGGCGCTGATTCATCCTTCTTTTTTGTTTTCCGTCTCACCCTGCCTAGCCTGGTCTTCTTCATCGTTGAGGTCATCTGTAGTCTCCAGAACCGAGATTTTCACTTCGTCAGCTGGAGATCCAAGCTCCTCGTTCTCTGTCTTGGGTTCGTCTCCGCCCTCGTTGACCTTGGAATCCTCATCCTTCGGGCCAACAGGTGATGGTGGCTCCGCCCTGATTGGACTCATGCCCTCATTATCCTCGTCACTTTTGTCGTCGCCATGCCCTGCGCTCTCGCTGGAGGTCGCTTCTATCCCGTGCGTTGCCGCCGCTCTGTCCACAGGCGGACTTTGCTTCTCTGAGTCAATGGAATTTTCATCATCCAAGTCATAGATATGGCCCAGTATTGCCCCAAGCACGTCACTTCCACTCGTCCTGATCGAGCCACCGGAAGGCGACGTGATTTTGTGACCTCCTTCCTCTTGGAACGGATTGGTTGTCTGCTCTATCGGGGTTTCTACTTTCGCTTGTTCATCTTTCGCATTCGCAGTGGCTGCACTGTCGGCCGTCTTAACACTGACGTCTCCACTTTCCGTTGTAGAAGTTGACTCGAGATTTTGGGAAATCATATGCGTGGAGATTGGGTCGACATCTTCTGTTGTACCGGTGGGTGTGGGATCCTCTGGAGCACGAGGCTCGTATTTTGGCACCGAGGAGGTAATGTCAAGCTTTGGTAGGTGGCGCTCGGGGGAAATACCTTTACTTCTGTCCTTCCCTGAGTCAATCCCCGTCGAAGAGACACCCCGTTCCGAATTTGCAATGACGTTTAGTGTCTCCCCCGATTGAGATGGTGAAGATTGGTTCTTCGGCGCCACTTCATTGCTTTTCGGGTGCTCTTCCTCCTCTTCCTGGCCTTCGGCGATGGTGGCAACATGGCTCCCGGTGCTTGGGGTGTGTTTGTGTCTCCGTGTTGTTGCGCCCGTGCTGACTGTTGTAGGTGCAGTCGGCGTCGTGGTGTCTGATAACATGGATCCAGCAGATGGATCATCCAACGCGGAACCCCCTGCAGTGTCTCTTACTAGTATTTGTGGTCGTAGGGGCCCCTCACGTTCAACAGGAGCTTCGTGAATTCCTTCAGCTTCAGCTGGAATCGTATAGCTGTCCTCGGGGATGAGATGATATTCATCACAAACGACTTTGAAGAGCACGTACAACCCGTACGTGGCTTCGACAGACCAAAAGACATCACGATGCTGAAACCAAGCGTGGGCAAATATACGGTACACTCTTCGAAAGATATTGGTCAATTGTCGCATGCTTTGCATGACGTTCCCTGCTTCCGAACCAAGCGCCAACCGCGAGGGGAAATGCTTCGGACTGGTCAGAACGTTCGCGGCCCAGTCGAGAGTATGGTTACAATAGTCGATGGCACAGCATGATTTGGGTGGTTCGTGTACCGCACAGAGATACTGCCATTCGCTGGCGCGCATTTCAGGACACGTCTGAGCAGAACACGGCGGGTTGTCGTTCATTAAGAATATTGAGACGATATTGGCTTTTTGAGTGAGAAATCGACAGAGTTCATACAGCCACAGGTTCCTGTCCACAGATTCGCTGTCGTTGATATGAGGAGGTGTGGCGAGCTGTAGCGCTGACTCCTTCGTGATTGGGACGGTGTGTGTAGACTCCGGTGTGTGGGTGAGGTGAGCGTAGAGGGATTTGAGGTGTTCTTGAAGTTGAAATGGCGAGTCGAGCTGGCTCAGTGGAACCAGAGGCGGTCCCAAAGCCATATCTGCAGCTTTTGTTCCCGGCCTAATCCTCCTTGCTGCTCCTTCATCTGGTTTTGACGTCGCATCAAGGGATAATTCTTTGGAGAGGTCAACACCTGGCTTTTGGGGCCGAACTGGACCTCCGGTATTGGTGGAGGAGATGGTAGCCGTGGGGAGCTGGACGGCGAGACGCCAGACCTCGAGGGTGTAACAGCAGTCATTGTGTTTGTGGAGGGCCAAAGACACCGTTGAAGGTCGAGCGGATATGATGGTGACCTCGGCGCTTATTCCCCGGAAGCGGTCGTCTCTTTACTCTGGGAGGTGGATACCTATGTCCTCGAGTAGTGCGTTTCTGCCAGGTGAGGAGCTTGTTGAGCTTCTTTCATGGCCTCTAGTCGTGAGCAGTCCTCCGTCGGTGGTAGGAAAGGCGCAAACGGCAGAGGGCAATGCGGTCGCGTGGTCGCAGAGTGGCGCTTAACGGCGGTGCTCTTGATCAACTGAAAATACCGTGGCTCTCATAGCCAGCTCAGGAAATACGGCGCGAGACAAGAGTTTGGGAGGAGATGAGTGCGCTTCGGGTACCTGGAGTTGGTGGTGTGTTTTGTAGGTATCCTGAGATACTTGTAGATAGCTCCATGGTGAGCCCGACCAAGGTGTACGCAGGAGCACCGTTTCGGATGAGTTGCCTATTTGTGAAAGGATAAGGTTTGAGATCGACAAATGGTCGGACGCTAAACCTTAAAAGCTAAAACTTTCTCCCTCGGTTGATATTCCTCATCTGTACGTCGACAGGGAGCACAGCCCGCAGAGGCATTTTGGGTGCCGCAAGGTATGATGAAACGCCCAGAGGGTGAGTGTTTTAGATCGCCTAAAACTTTCACATAATTGGGATCAGCGTAGTGCTTGTTAATCGCAGGGCAACATATAGACATGGATGATGAAGAAATCCCTGATCTGGTCGATGTTTCTCAGACGGATGGCACTACCACCACTTTACAAGACGGCCCGGACAAAAAAGTGCCCATTACCATCATTACGGGTATGAACGCTCCTTGAGAAGACTTATGCGCGGCCTCCACTGACAGGAAAACCTGCAGGCTACTTGGGCGCCGGAAAGACAACTTTGCTCAACTATATATTAACAGCGGAGCACGGCAAAAAAATAGCAGTCATTTTAAATGGCATGTGGAAGTCCCCTCTCACCCCTTTGGGATGCCCTGAACGACCAACCCTATCCTGCCCATTCCTTGACCTGCAATCCTTGATTTTGATTTTGATTGCTAACGTCCTTGCGAGGCCTGCAGAGTTTGGAAACACCACAGATATTGAAAAGTCCCTGACTGTCACTCAGAACCATCAGGCCACAACAGAATGGATACCGTTGGCCAACGGGTGTATCTGTTGCAGCGTCAAGGATTCTGGAGTGGCAGCTCTGGAATCCCTCGTGGAGGGTCAGAAGGACTTTGACTACATCCTGCTCGAGACCACAGGTGTTGCGGATCCAGGGAATATCGCTCCTATGTTTTGGCTCGATGACGGACTAGGCAGCAGTATCTATCTGGACGGCATCGTCACAGTGGTCGACGCGAAAAACATACTCAAAAGCCTTGATGAGCCTGCGCCAGAAGAATTACCGCAATCCGAGACTGCAGGTCACGATCACAGCCTCCCTCTGCTCACAACTGCTCATCTTCAAATTTCTCACGCAGATGTGATAATCCTCAATAAGACAGATCTTGTCTCTCCGGCGCGGCTTTCAGCTGTTCAGGCCAGAATTGCCTCTATTAACAGTCTAGCACGAATAGTCCCAACAGTACACTCTCGTGTCACAGATCTCAGTGGCACCATCCTTGATTTGAAAGCGTACTCAACCTTCCCCTCCGGCTCCGCCACATCCGATACCAGCGACAAGACCATCCCCGACTTCGCCTCCAAAGGTCATTCGCACCTAGATCCCACGCTCTCCACAGCCACATTCACCTTGCCTCCTTTTGATCCACAAAAGCTACATCTTCTGTCAGGCTGGCTGGAAGCACTGCTCTGGGATGCCGAGGAATCGCAGCAAGGGAGAGAGCGACAGTACGAAATTCATAGAACGAAAGGGTTGGTCAAGTGTACTGATGGCAGTACTAGGGTTATCCAGGGGGTTAGGGAGATTTTTGAGATCATTGATCTGCCACACCCCGAGACCGGTGGTGGCTCGCTGGCCAAAGAAGCCGGAGAAGAAGTGGCGGCGGAAGAAGGCAAGATCGTGTTTATTGGGAGGAATCTGGATCTGATAACTGGCTTGAAGCTTGATGAGCACGACGACTCCGCTTGATGTGCGAGGTGAAATACACAAAAAGGTTTAGCAATTCGGTCGGTGGAAGTCTTAGATACTATTTCATATCGTGTCATAAAATGATATAGAGTACTGTGTCGCCTCTCTGGTATTATCGAAGTTTGAAATCTGCAAGCACCTCACATTCTTCCGTTGAAACCGCAGGAGAGAAGCAACTCCTGAGAGGCATCTAGCTTTGCCTTGATGTATTGTTCAGCATCCTCGATGCCCCAATCCAAAACGGAATTGATACAGATCAGTCCATCGTGCTGAGACAAAAAAAGCTCCCCTGCTCATCTGGTCAAGCATGTGCTCGCCGCTGAATTGGTTTGGTTTCGCAACCACGATCCTTTTCAAATGTCATAACGCCGCCTCGATGCATTGTACATAAACCCGAAAAGCTAGACTAAAAGATCAAAAGACCCCATCCTCCTTGCTTCGAATGCAGCCCCAATCATTTGTGAACATAATCTGTCGTAACAATATGCATCCTTAGGTTGCATTGCATATCAAAGTGCCGCAAGATATCCGCAAAACTACAATCCACCCATGATTACAGCCTAGGCTGCTGGTAGCATTTCGTATCGTCGTCATCCAAGTTCAATAAATGTCGTGATTCATTCGCTTATCAGTGCATGCGTGTTGCTGAAAAGACTGGCATAAGGAAGCGGTCAAGCGGCTATCCCCACATGATTTCATTCCAGAGATCCGGTAGTTACGTACTCACCACAGGTAGAGTCATGAGATTTCTTGTACCGACACCAGTCAGACGTTCGTCCGATCCTGGGAACCGGGGGGTTTATTGAGGCAAGCAGAAATTGAAGCCGCTGGAAGACCTTCGGACGATTAACGTCTTGCCCATGCCTTGAAAACAGATGACTCTGCTGTGCAACTGTGCAGCGCGTTTTGAGGGAAATGGGCCGAGTCCTGTCCTCGTGCAGGCGGCTCGACTTTCGTCACTCATTCGGTAGCCCTGTTTGTATTATGTCGCCCGCGTTAGCCTTGGTAGATGGGTCGTTATCTGGTGGCGAGGTACGGAGTGCTTCAGTCACTGATCGACCTTCCCATGAAACAAGGAGCTTGGCGTCACTCGAGGTAGGAGTATCTTCACAAACGTGATCGGATACTAGAGACATCTCCCCACCATGCCAAGCTTTATCAGCGAGAAGAGGATGGCTCTCCTGCGCAGGCAGCTTGTCTGATTTTGGTGGCGACTGAGTGATTGGTGGTATTTGAGAAAGGTCACTATCACCATCAAGCCCTGGAAACTGTTCGTCGTAACCACTGTCAACGAATTGCAGACTCGGTAGTCCTCTCGCTGCTGTGCTTAAAGGTCGGTCCGTGTTTTTCTGCGCTTCGGTATCCTTGGAACCAGCTGTTAAGAAATCCGAATCATCGTTGACAGCAAGGACGTGGCCTTTATTCGGGGCTCTGTTGTCATCGCCTCGACTTAGGCAATCTAGCTCCACCTCTAGATTCTGGATCGTGTCCTTGGGTCGCCCGCTGCACTTCTCTACTTCCTCGAGCACCGAACCCAGTGTCCCCATGTGGGTGTCCGTAAGCTGGGGCGCGTTGTTCTCTACTTCGGCCATCTGCTCAGTATTGTGTGTTGTGATGCTCGGGCTATCTGTGGCATTTTCGACTGGTTCACAAGCCTTTGGGGTGTTTCCGATCAAGTTTTCTGCATCCTCTATCGAGATTTCCGGCTTCTCCACGGATTCGCATGGTTGATCAGTCGACAGTGTCGGGGCCTCCGGCAAGTGCTCCATATCCTTAGCCGAGTTCAACATCATATGCGCCGGATCTTCCGAGTCGCTAGGTATGACCTCAATCTTCTCGGCGGATTCCCGAGGAGTCTTCGTTGCGTCTTCTGAATACTCGGTTTCGTACTCTGAATCCTGTGTCACATCAATGAAATTCCGAGCCACATCCTCCGGATGTTCCTCTGTCGGATCCCGCACATTCTCAATTGCGGCTTCTGGCTTCCCGGATCCAATCTCCAGCTTCTCAGTCGAAATACCAAGACCTTCAGGATTTTCAGGCCGATACTGAGACAAGGTAGAAAGGAGCTCCTGGCTATTCCGAGGCGTACTTTCAGAAGTGGCAGAAGTTGCAGCGAGGAGCGACGGGCGTCGGACTGGTACCGCGTGAGATGTATCAGTGAAGCAGGAAACCTCGGTTACACTCATGTCAGATTCGAGTTCTTGGTCTGAAACGCTGCTCTCCACTTGCGGAGGACCTTCTAAGATCTTCAGTTCATCGTCGTTAAACGTGCGACGGGAAACCAAGTAAGGATGTCCATCCAGTTCGAGCTCATCAAACTCTCGATCCATTCCCGGAGATATAGCCACAATGTTTGGTTCCAAGTCCTCAGTTGGGGTGGGTCCCTCATCCTCAGATTCCCAATGATGTCTCTCATACTTTCCAAGGTGCGCATAGTTGGTAGGCGGTCGTCTGCCTCTCGGTCGATCGTAGCCTGAGGTCTCGCTCTCGAACTCATAGTTGGATGACTTCGGATACGTGAATGTGTAATCATCTCTTGAGCTTTCCGGTGAGTAAGGAGGCGCTTCGTGTTCTTGTATGCTTGAACTCAATCGTAGGATGTCGTCCCGCTCGACTGCATCCGCCGGATCGATATATTTCTTTACTGTCCGCAATTTCAGGGTAGGTCGTCGTTGCGAGGAGATTTGGTCAGATGGACTGGATATCCTCGATGGGAACAAGCCAACTAGCTCTTTTGCGGATAGTCGATCCCTCGGACGAGAAGACAAGCAGATCCGAACAATATCTTGATACCAGTCCGGGACATCCGATGGAAATTCCTCTACGCTCAAAGGTGGCACATGCCGTTCTGGTTCATCATCATCCATCGCCAAAGCCCACAGAGTCATGCCGAGTTGATAGATGTCCGACTTTTCGCCGATGTACATTGAAATTCGTTGGTTGCTGGCAATCTTAGTGGCAATTTCGGGGGGCTCCCACCCCACAGGACAGCCTCGCCGGTTGATATCAATGATCTTAGCATTTCCATTGCCGTCGACCACAATGTTTGAAAGCGTGAAATCGCCCTGAACATAGCCTTCTTCGTGTATTTCACTGAGACCACGAACGGCTTGTTCTGCCCACCTGCAACGATCCTCCCAAGCGATTGCTCCTCTGTGGTCGTAAAGGAGATCCACAATGGCGCCCCGTTCCGCATAGCCTATCAAGAGCCCTTTGACAACAGACTCCGTGTCATCAAGGATGACAGCTTCGAGTTTGATGACATGGTTGGAATCATGTAGCGCATGCAGGGCATTGATTTCATATAAGAATTCGTCCACTGTGTCCGGACCGGGAATTTCTTTCTTGATGTAGACTGTACCCTTATGTAGAACCTTGTAAACAAACCCGGAAAGGTGCGAATCGAACGTCAGCTCACTTTCCCGGACTTGCATAGGACGAAAGGCTTCATCGTTGAGGATGTGGGAAAGGGTGGTCTTGGGGGGGTATGGAATGATCTCATTGACATCCTCAGTCACATGAACATGGAGACGGCCATCAGTAGTTTCCAGTTTGAGGTTAGTAACTGTGTCATAGAATTGGATCTCAGGGAGTGAATCACGTATTGACTCGTAGATTTGCATGCTCTTGTCCCGTTGAAACTGTAGTTCTTTGAGGTCCATCTCCAGGGAACCTGGTTCAGCATTGCGATAGTCACATGAGATAGTCACCCGCCGCCAGAAGTTGGGGGTCTGTGCATAGGTCACGAAGAACTTTTCTCGGTCTGACTTATCCCGGAAATGCATACTGAGGTTGAGGATCCATCGGTGATCAAGTTCGTCCCTCAATTCTGCCTTGTCGTCGGCGATAGCCATTTGGGGATAGTGAGAGTCATCAGAAGAAGTCCTTGAAGGGGGCCTTGGGGGTCGGTATTCGTCCTGAGACCAGAGGTCCTCAATAGGCTCGGGATAGGTTGACTCCTGGGGTAGAGGAACGGTACTGACAGGGGAATCACTAATACCGGCATCCGCCGTGTTGGCTCCAGTTACTGCGGGCGCAGAGGTCTGACCTGGATCCCAATAGGGTGGCGTAGAAGCTGCTCGTCGTCTGGGTAAGCTTATAGAAGCGTGCCTAGTCGACGAGACGGCTCTCCTCTCGGCATGACAAGGTTCGATCGGGAACAATCGATCTCGTCTTTCAGAGTTCTGACGTCGGAATGTCGCTTGCCGGGGGAGGCCAACGGCAAGCGGCCTGGTTAAGGTATCTGGCATGGTGGAATTTTCTCTGTCAGCCCAAGTCTGAGGCCATTGCTCATCGTCGGAGCACTCGATCGGGCTTTGGGTGGCGTCATCTTTAGCAAAGAAATGCTGGATCTTCTGCCACATGCCGAACCTAAGCGAGTGTCTGGGATGGTGGCGATGCGGCTCAGAGTCGATTTGTCTCAGTGGATTGTGTTCAGCATGGCTTGGTCGAATGCCCATTCTGGCGGAGGTTGCCTTCCAGTAGGACGCTGATACGAATGAGGGGCACAACGGTCCTCCAACAATCGAATCAGCAGCCTCCGCCGAGTTGGGCAGTACAGCAGCAGGGAGGACTAGGCCAACAGGAATCGAACATTGAAGTTGTGCAAAGGGTGTTATGTGTCGTCGCGTTATGTGTGATGTCTGACGGTGGTACAGAAGAGATGGAAGAGGTTTTGGTGGGAATTCGGAAAATCGATGGATGTTATTGGTGATGGGCCATCGACCAGGGTGGGAGAGCTGGGAGACTTCGGAGAGTCGGGAGGTGGGTGGGCGTGGCTTAGGAGGCGGTGAAGAGACACCAGAGCACCAAGTGTTTGGGAAAATATCGCACCCGGTGTGCCCGCCCGCGCTACAAAGAGATTCAATGTTTCAGGAAGAATGGCGACGGAGTATTGCCCCTGTGCAATGTGGACTTGTCAAATGATTTGAAGGACGGCTGTTGGAGGAGAGTCGGGTTATGGTCTACCACAGCGCAGGTGAGTGGTCTCGAGCTGCCGACCGAGTATATCGAATGGATCCCAATACTGGCCGAGACGGCCTGTTGTCTGACCCACGCTTGTCGTCTGGGTACTGGAGTACAGGAAGTAGGTGGAATGGTAATTGAGATGAGGCAAGGATGCTGCGAGCAGGTTTGATGTCTTTATGGCGGGTTTCGAAAAGTGGTTCAACGTGGTTCAAGGCGGTTTACCGCTTAAGCAAGGCCACAAGGCGTAGGCTATGCCAGCCGATGCTGGGTCTGATGCATCTGCATGAAGCAGGAGGCAGGAGGTTCTTTGATTTTGAGTATGAGGCCAGAGTGAAAAGGCAGAATAAGGGAATCGAGAGAAAAGAGTTGGATGAAGCAGGAGAGAAAAAAAAAAAAAGGAAATGCTACCAGGCCTCTTCGAAGCTTTCTATCCCTGTTTCCTTATTTTTTTTTCGATCGGTCGCCCTCTTTCTTTTCTTCTCGAGCGCAGGCGGTAGATAGGTTGGATTCGGTGTGGATTGGACTCCGCTGTCAACGCTGAGCAGCCGGTACCTGGGTTGAGAGGCATCACTTAACTAACCAAACGGCGAGGATGCTGGGTGCAGTGTGCCGCAAGCCTCCCATAGTCGGACATTGTGTTCAGGCTCGCTCCGGGGCTTGGGGGCGCACGGGCGGGCTGGTAGGCTGGTAAGTTGGTGGGCTGGTGGACTGGCACACTGGCACTCTGGGTGGGCTGGTGACTGTAGTGGGAAAAGAGGGCCGTTGTTCGGCCGCAACACAACTGCCAACACAAGACGTGGATGAGGGCGAAGCAGCCAATGGCGCCCCTAGGCAGAAGGGCGACAGTTATAGGCGACGGGAGCTTCCCTGGATGCCCGCTGGCCCGTGCCCCCGAAGGCCTAGCCGTTAACTAGAGCCGCTTCGAGTAGAGGAACCCGTCGTGATGCCTGGGCGCTACGCCTGCAAGCTGTGCGAGCATGTACGGGGAATGCATGTTGTCTTTGCTTTCGCAAATTCGGATGGCAGCTTTGTGGGCTCATTTAGGCTGCGATTCCATCACTGGTGCAGGCCTATCAATGACTCGAATTGCTTTGCATTCAACTTATGCATGGAAGCCTTGGATCGTATTTCTTTGCTCGGGAAGGAAAATGCGACTAGGCGAGCTGCTTTGGGCTGCAAGGCAGACACCCAGCGAGCACCTTTGATAGTGACGACTCCGAGTCCCTTGGTGCCTTTGTACCCCGCCAACCCCGGAATTTTAAATGTTCCCTTCCGTCTTCAGCCCTACTTGCACCAGCTTGTACGAGGTACTGAATTCCCAGTGACCTTTCAACACAGCTCGTAGTGTCTTTTCTCTTTCCTCCATCAGAATTGTGCAAATCTCTACTGGTCTTCTCATACCTCACCGATCCTGACTCTGCTCCACAGCCCCAACCCACTCTCGACGTCCTCAAGCTCTCCTGTTTGCTCCGATAGACAGCTCCTTGGGATCATTGAAGCAGCCCCCAGTCGGGGGGACAAAAGGAGGGCGGCAAACGATGCGTGCAGTTGAGCATGGACTACTAAGACGGCGCACCGAGGACGCACGATTGGGAACAACGGAGCAGCCACACTAGCTGCGGTAGAAGCCCAAAGCTGCATCTTTTGGAAGGCTTCGACTCCTCCAATCCTGCCGCTACTGCACATTCTGCAGCAGGCATCCGACACTGTGCATTCGTCCACTTAGAGATTTTCTTGCAATGTTCTTTTCTCCAATTTGTTGCCTCGTCGTTGGGCTGCAATTTTTCAGGTGGTTTGCATTTCAATTGGCACTTGTTGCTCCTATATCGCCGTTTCGGTTGACGTGTTGTCTCACAAACCCCTCCCGCCATCTTCGTTAAAGCAACCTCTATCGGAGATCACATCGGAGCTCATGATCTCATCATTGCCATGAAGCACTCAGCGTTTGAGTTTTCCTTCGTCTGGTCCCATCGTTGACGTGGCCGACGCGATCAAAGCTACCCCTGTTCAAGGATGTTTCGACATCGACTGACCTCCCGCATGACCTTTCCATCATCCGTGGGACGCTTATCCTTCAGGTTCCCAAGACCATATTCTTATAAATCCTAAATTGGGGTCACAGGACTCCGGTGGCATTTTATCTGTGTCAGAGTTTGGGCTGCTTCTACCCTTGCAACACACCGCCTATTGCCTTTTTTGCTGTCATACTTCTACGTGGACTGACCATGGATCTTGATGCTCCGGTTCAACCCGCTTCAACTCCTCGGTCACCAGGGTTATCATCATATGCTGTGTGGCTGGGAGCGAACGTCAACAAGGTGGGCAGAAGAGTGGGATTAAGCATTCACGTGTAGTACCCAAGACGGACGATGGGACCCAATTACCATCCCAAAGTCCATGTGTCAATATCGTTCATCTTCAGATCAGCAAGGACCTCTATTGCTACGATTTCTGGTGGCGAGGAGTCGTCGGCTCTCTTTAGCCATTTTGCACTCGGCTCTTCTATCAGGTCAACCAGAGACGCCATTATCCGACCAGGGTTTAAAGACGGTCAACTCCTCAAGAGTTCATTTTCTTTAACCAGTTGACACTACTTGCTGTGTCCCAGCAGGTTGGCGGAAGCCATTCAGAGCTTACTGAGCAGATCGTCCTCCGGGAAATCACTGGGAAACAGATCCCCGTGATCAGACTGGTCTGCAAGGTCTACATGACCTGCAGAAAGATGATGGGAGCGCTGCTCCACCGAAGCTTCCTTTAGGATTCGTCCTTTTATTATTGGCTTATGTGCTTTCTCCTGAATCTGAGCATTTTTTGGGTCCAAGGAACCCAACAAAAGTCCGCGAGTTCAGCAAGATCGTATCGTGCTGCTCCCGCCACAATCAGTGGACCAGCCGCAGATTGCGATAGTGCAGGATGTCTTGTCTCAGCATGAAGGAAAGAAACTTCAAGCCAGGGCACGGGACTCGATAAGCACAAATTGCATCCCCGGATGACCGCCTTTTGCGAGCCCGCGATGGTCTATACTGATCACAATGCCTTTTATTCTTTGAACGTTTGGATATGGAGCCGATCAGCTTACACTTCTTCGAGAAACGTGGACAGCGGTTGTCGTCTACCCGACGTTGATCAGTTCTCTACAGAAATGGCTGCTCTGAGAATGCTTTGGGCTGTGGGGCGGAAGGAATGGAAACTTGGTTCGTCTGATCGTGAATGGAAAGCGTTTGCACGATTGGATTCAATCCAATCCAGGACCAACCAACTTCCACCTCACCTGCCCGACATGCTCGTCTCGTCACAATTGACAACTGTCCGAGGTCAACATCACCTCTCTCAGAGTGCCGTATGCTCGAACTCCTACCTACTCCGAGCGACGATTCAACATTCATTTTCAGGCTCGGTTTTGCTCCCTTTTTATTTCCCTTCGCCCACTTCGTCGTTGCTGCTCGTCTTTCCCCGGAAAGACTCTTTGTTCCTGTCAGTGGAGTGGGCAAAGTACATTCCTTGGCCGAAATGATATACTAGGTAGGTATCTACAGCACCTAGATATCTGATGGATCACGCAAAGAGCAGTCAAGGAGACAAAGACTCAACCCTGCCGCATACCTGCCACCTGCAACCTGCTATGTTTTGGAACTGACGAATTTCTGTTGAGAACTTTCAGCCTCACGGCGTTGTCGACTGATGGACACTCGTTCCTGTTTCTTTTTCTTAGTCAGTTTGTGATCTGGTCTGATCTGGTCTGGTCCCTCCGGGATGTATGTATGCGGTGAATTGACTCCCCCCGAGAAGAGGCCCAACAACTTTTTGCTCTTCCTTCCACTGGGTCTGGTTCCCTTCCCCATCTTCTTCTCCTGCCTCGCCATATGTCTCTTAACTCACTTGCCACATACCGGAGACTAGGTAGCTTCGGTGGAAAGGTCGGTCGAGGGCTTTGAAGGGGGGCAGAGCACCACATATGATGGAGCTTCATCTTAACGAGGAAGAAGGATGTCTCTGGTGAGGTTTGCCTATAGCCTGGTTGTGCAATTGCCCGTTCGTACGGTAGACTTGGCATCCCTACCTACCTACCCAGTTAGGTAGAAAGCCACGTACGTTCTACCTTTACCACGACACGCAAATGTGGTCCCCCCGACTGAAATACCAGTTGCACCTGTTTTCAATACCATTATCCGTCTTGCCCGAGAAAGTGTATCGTCACGGGGAGTATAGTATACACAATAATCCCATGCTGCCCGTCCAATGCCCTTAAGAGACCATCGCTATTGTCCGTAATCCCACGCCG